ATCAGGCAGGCGAAATTGTTCGGATACGTGGCCTTCACAGATAGCTAAAACCGAGAATTTGTAGCGACTGACAAAATCCTTGAAATCGCTGCGTTTTGGCATTAGGTGACGTGCATTCCATTGTAATAAAAAGGAAGTGGCGTATACCTCAGTTAGATGAGTCATTGAATGCCGTTGAGAAGTGGTTCCATGGCCAACAGAGCTTTGATGGATGATTTGGAACCGATTTTCGGGTATTCTTTGATGATTTCTTTTATGACTTCCATCATGAGAGGTAGGAACATGTGAAGGATGCCTTTTGCACTGCTTTCTTGATCTGGATGGGCAGACTCAATGTGATGCGCGGTTCTAGAACTAGTACGGCGTCGATTATCCAGATGGGAAGGTACTTCCTCTTCGGTATCTGCAGTTGCTTTTGGGTTTGGTGGTATGACGTGGGAACTTCCTTGTCTTGTCTTGTGATCTGTTAGTGTTGTGTTGCTGCCGCTTGGAATTCCTTGCAGAACGTCGGAAAAGGTAGGCCGTGATGTTTTATTTTGCGTGGTCATTTTGTCACTTGCCCTAATAACATCCGGATTAGGAGCTGGAGCTTTCCGTGGAGTAGGTTTGCCATAAAAAAGCTCATTTTTCTTAGCAGCATGCGCCGCCTGTTTTCGTATACAGCCTGCATAGGTTGATACATGGCGCGAGCCGCAGTTTGCGCATTGCGGTTCACGTGGTGTCGGGCATTCTTTGTGGTGATGAGGACCTGCGCAGATCTTGCAGCGACGGGAGCTGCGGCAGTCGCGAGCCAGGTGGCCATATCGTTGGCAGTTGTAACATTGAGTTGGTGCCTCGCAGTGTTCTTGCACGGGGAAGCTGTGGAATCCTAGTTTGGTTCGTGCAGGTAGTTGTAGGTCTTCACGAAATTTAAGGATTACTGTTGTCAGTGGATGTTTTGTTACGGGACCATCTTCCCGTCGAGTGTACTTCATTTGTCGTTGTGCAGAAATGACTCCGTCGTCTCGTAGGTATTCACCGAGTTGATCATCACTGTAGTCAAGTGGCACACCCCAGATTTTCCCCAGATTTTTCGAGTACGACTGTGGTACAACGACATCCACCTTGATTCCCGCGAGGGCGTTTAGTTTTAGCAAATTATTCGCTGCTTCGGCGGACGCCACAGTGACAGTTAGTCCTCCATTTTTGTCAATTCGTTGAGACAGGACTTTCTCTTGGGATGTTGCGACGATTTCTTGCGCTAACTTATTAGGGTTGACCTTCCAGAACGACTGGGATGGATCATTGAGTTTGAACAACACCGGAATGCCAGCCTTGCGAGTCTTCTTGTAAATCACCTCAGTGAAAGGTGTCTCCTCATCGGTGATGGACTGCTGATGTTCCATAGTTTGAGCAGGTGGCTCTTGATATTCATCAGCGCGCCGTTTTCTCGGAGGTATGGCACTTGTTTGGGCAAGGCTTGAACCCGAGTCATGGGATACTGCGGTTGGTATTACCACAGGTTGGGAGGTGCGTAGAATTGTTGAGGAGGCATGTTCGTGCGGTACAGTGCCAGCGGGGCTGATGACAGATGTCATCGCCACAGCGGCCGGTAGTGGTATACCGATTAACTGTCACTAATGGGTATAAATGCTGAAAAGCTTGCCGAATGGTAGAAAGAACAGGTTGCTTCGATCGCACTTCTTCTTTTTCTCCCCTGAAACAGAGTATAACAACTCGGTGATATATTTCTTCTTCCTCAAATCGTCATCATCTTCTCCTTCGCCGTTAATGAGAACATTTTAAATTTTTAAACACAAGAAACCAAATAGCCAATAAACATTAATAAGTAAATAATAAATAAATAAATGACAGCTAAAAATAAATAAAACTAAGAAAATGGAAAAAAATAAAAAATAAAGTTAAAAAATATTTTTAGAAAATAAATTACAATGAAAAAAATTAAACTTAAAAGAAATATTTCTTTTTATTTTGTATGTTTTATTTCTTTTTAGTTATCATTCATTCATTATTTAATTTTAATGTGTATTGGCTATTTGGTTTCTGGTGTTTAAAAATTTTAAATGTTCTCATTCACGGCGAAGGAGGAGAAGATGACGATATGAGGAAGAAGAAATATATCACCGAGTTGTTAATCAGCGCTGCGAGTCTGTTTCCTTCTTATGTGCCTGTGAGTGTGACTGTATACTCGCGCTGCTCCATCCAAGCATGAATTACCAACTAGCCCAAGCACCCACATTATCAAGCCATCATCAACCTGGACGCTATTTCTGTTTCTGTCCTGGCTTGGCTTGGCTTGCTCGAGTCTCTCGGATGGGTGGATAATTGCCATAACGGTACACCTTGTAGTAGGCGGTAGCTTACGTCACCTAGATTGAATGTTGCCAATAGAACTGAATTTCGAAATACTGCTCAAATAAAAAACTAATAATAATTGTAGTGCGTCCTGGTTTTATTAAAGAATTGTTTGATGAAAACTATAGTTAAAATATGTCCTAAACTTACACAACTACATGTAATAATTTGTATGTGAAATTTAGTTGAGCAGTGAACGTGAACTGTGTATACTACCGCCATTTCATTCATTTATTTTGTTAAAAACGTAATCAAATTGAGGACGTATATATTACTTACAACTTTGTATCCTTCGTCCTCAATAAGTCCTCGAAAGGACGCTTCTAGGATGATCCAGCGACTGACGTCCTCAGGATGTCCTGAGGACGTCTTGAAAACCGTGAGGACGTTTGTACCTTTCGAGGACGTCCTGAGGATGTTGGGTGTTGTCTGGGCGCGCCCGTTCTGGCGGGTGGTTCGCGCTAGTTTCCGGGGGTTGGGTGTGGCACTGTACCTCCTACGCAGACGCTGTCCTTCAGGGCTTTTCGCCTGGGTCTGCTCGCCGCGAGCGAGTACGTCCTTTGGCGAAACCGGTGCTGCGCCGTGGGACAGGGATGGAGGTTGCGTGCGCTCTGGCCGCTTTTATTCAGGCTACGGCGGGAGCTCGTGCCGCACCTCGAGGAGACCTGGGGTGCTAGGGGTAAAACCTTCACGGACCACGGCGCCAGTTTGCGTTCCTCAATGTGCGAGTTGGGTTCGGCTGACATGCTTGGGCACAACGGATGCATCACAGTGAAAAGGCACAGAGCTTTCAAAGGAAAGGAGGTACGAAACAGACTGCTATATTTTCAAATTTGCGTACCAAAAAGCAGGCTTTAGCGGCTTTAGGCTTTGCACGCTGATGCACTATTGGTTATAATTTCGTGCACTAAACGATATCCGATGAGTGAAATCAGAATTTATCCCACCCGAAAATTCATTTTATGGTATCTTTAAAGGGAAACTTAGTCGGTTTTGTATTTGAGAAACAAACACTTAAACCATCTTCATTTGTCCTCCCAGGCGTGATACACATGTGAGCAAGAATCGGGTTGAGTCGCGTTGCCAAGTAGCGTAACCATAGGAACCGCCACCGACAGCCCAATGCCGTGCCGTTCCGTGATAGCGTCAGCGATGGTTGCTATGTTTACGCTACTTGGCGGCGCCATTTTTGCTCCCATGTGCTCCAGGCTTTATCCGAGCAGTCAAAAGCGCTACACGCGCTCCTTCAAAAGCGGCGTGCGCAAGACAGCTGAAAAAAACCCCGTAAGCTGTTTTCCTTTTTTTTTTCTTTGCGTTATGTTTGGGTCAAATGCTTGTGATACTCCAATGCACAGGACGAAAATACGTTTTAGCGTGTTTTCATGGCCCCCGATTTGCCTAAAAAATTTGCCCAACACACACAAAAAAAAAAAAACATGCTGAATTAGTAACCTAAATATTAGGTCGATATAGTATACAAATATTTTTTTTCTTTTTTTTTTTGTGAAATCATTGAATTTACAATTTTCTCCTTCACCCTGTTTTGCAAGCTGAGTCTCTACTGGTAATAAAAAAAAAAAAAAAACTGATGCTAGTGGCAGGCAGGGGTTATCTTTTTGGACTGGAATAAATTACCTACGCATCAAGGAGGATGTAGGGATTGGTTTTCCACGCGCCACACCCGCACGCCTTCCCCGTATAAAAGATTCGAAGTAAATAGCCAAAATAAAGCATTGACGAACGCGTGTGCAAGATGCAATTTGTTTCAGGCATTTGCTTTAGAAAAGGTACTATTGCTGAGGCCAGCACGTGCGGCACGTGGAACACCAAATCCCTGCATTCTCCTTGATGCTCGGGTAATTTCGTAATAGGCCTATTGATCACAAGCAGTTCCATGGTATCAAATGAATGCGTTGAAGCTCGCTCCAGCACCCGCGCAGCAGCGTAAAACAAAAGATCTGCATAGTCTGTTTTTTTGTTTTTTAGACTGCCTGCCAGTGACATTACGGCCCTGAAAAGTGTGGGTATTTTTTAATGTTGGTTTTGGCATCATTTTCCATTTACAGATTTCACAATAACCATTTTGAATTTCGTAATACTAAATAGCACACGGGAAAGGGTAAAGGCATATCATGCGGAAAATCTAGTTAGTTGGAGTAACTCGAAAAATCGCCTAGAATACCCCTTTAACACAACTCAGCTGAGCACAGTGCAAACAGTAAAATTACCCGTGAACATATCTGTGTTTAATTAATTGAAGGTTGCCTCGTAACCATCTTCAAGCTATCAAACAAACACACTGAGGATTAACTGTCGCATCACAAAACAGTGCGCAGCAACGAAATCTCTTTTTGACATTTTTCGAAAAGCTATAGACTTAAGTGCATGGCACTTCGCTCATTCATTTTATTTAAAATAAATTACAAAAAATAAAACGTCAATTTATTGTAGGAAATTGCTTATAAAGATGACAAGCTTGATGAAGTCAATATAACTGTCATGACAAAGGGAACAACCACAGCCAGACTCGATAAATTGCTGCCCCAAAACAAACTGCCCACTCGAAAGGTTATTTACAAGATCTCAACGCGTAAATGCGGCTCCCGCCAACAAATCTATAAAAACAAACAAAAAAGAGAGCCATGTGGGAAACATCCTTGTTTTTTATTGTTTTTGACACGTCGACTGTTCATTTCAAGATCTCAACACGTCGATCGTTTATTTAGCCGTTTAAGAACAGCAAAACATAATCTCAGTTTTGCTGCACTCTATTCCATTCAAGAGATTCAAGAGATAAGCGACACATTCTAGCCCTTATTGCTGCCAGATATTCAATAAGGCACCGGAAGACGGTAAAAAAATAAAACCCCACATCTTACCTGTGTATGGCACACTCTATGCCAGCTTGAGATAAGAGTTGAACAGCAGAAAAGATGCCTGCCCAAATTTCTACCCAGTAAGCCCGCCTCCTTCATACACCATACACCTCACATGCACTACTCCCAGGCACTTCATGAAACGTTTCAGCCAGATACAGCCCGTTCCACCTTACGACGGACCACAGAGGACACGCTTTGGGTCACCTGAGGCAATCCAGCGCACTGCGAGTGCCACGCGACTTTCGGGAGTGGTCGTGCAACACATTCGCAGTGCTGGATTGGCCGGGATGTCTCCTAGTGCTGCTAGCGTCCACCATAAGGTGAAATGGAAGTGTCGACGCACGGACCGGTACAACAGATGAAGGGACGCACCGCTGCACTTCAGCTGTGCAGATGCTCTCGCAGGGACGACGACACCGAGGACCAGGAAAACCCGCGCAGTCCCCAGGACACCGTCGCCCTCGCAAACGTCAGCAGCGCTAACCACACCAGTCCCAAGAAGGCCACCAGCAGGGGGCTGTAGCCCCACGTGTAGGCGAAGAAGAGCAGGAACCCCAGGAAGCCGAGGCCCTGTTTCTGGGCCAGGGGCCTGAGGCAGACCCTCGGGGGAAGGCGGATTGTCTCACGTACAGGGGCCCGATCCCCTCCGGTCTTGGTCACCCTCTGGTAGGTCGTGGGCGGGCAGAGCAGCTGCCTGGCCAGGTGGCCCGAGAAGCTGTCCCCCTGGTACAGGGCCTGCATGACCGGACCGTACTGGCGGCGGTCGGGCACGGCCTTTAGTTCCCTCGAGATTCGACTCTATAATTAGCATTATTTCATGAACAAACAAATTACCACATTTTCCGGTCTCGAGTCCTTTGCATACGTCGCACGCCCCTTATAAACAACCGTTTTCACGAAAAAGTCGTTTCTACTATAGCTATGAGAGAAATGGGCCGCTGCAAGTGTCGTGACCACCGACTCTCTAATCATTGAAACAGTATGTACTAAGTTGCACTTATATATTTGTACAATCAATGCACCAAAACTACATCGATAATCCCGTGCAGGGAGAGACAGAAAAATAAATTATGGTTCTGGAGAGATTGCAGCTTTAAAAACGGTGCTGGATACTTTTACACTCGCACATGTGTATTATAATCGCGACATGTGTGCAAGCAAGAGCAAGTTTCAATATTCTCGCCAACGAATGGAACGAGAAATATAATCCCCATGACAAACATGAGCAGTTCAGGTCCACACCCCTCAATAAGACGTATTTAAAATTTATTTCAGTTGCACGGCAATGTAAAACGCGCCAGTGGAAAAGAAAAAAAAAGAGCAACTTACACATAGAAAAATGCGGTATATCTGGCAAATGTTGAAAACATCTGTTTGTTCCTAAATTGCGCTTCTACAAGAATTAACAACAAGGTGCCCCAGGAATTGGCCGGCTCAACCCAGTTTGATGACTACAGGCAAAATTAAATTGCTCTCTACGGTCGCCGCCACGAAGAGAAAGGCAGGAAGAATTTCAAGTGTCCCACTTCCGGCATGAGCTTCAGAAGCTTCCCACTTTGACAGCACATCGACTTGCCGTGAGCTTCGTGCGTGCACGCACAGCCAAAGCACACCGAAATGGTACGACGAGCCTCTGCCAGAAGCCGGGCGCCCAAAAAAGACCATTTTGGCATTCTCGTCCTGTCAATGACCACAAAAGCAGAAGCGCGTTTATGCGCACTTCGTCGAAGATAGCGGGGCGCTTTTGTTGTGAGGAGATTGCCTTAGTCTTCCCCGTCAAGGTGTCTGCAGAGTGGGTACTCGCCGTCGTAGAGCGGCGATGAGTCGCCGAATGGGTGCTTCCACGAAGCTGTACTTTGGCGCAAAAAGCGACCCCACCGACCGGCGACGCCGACGTGAAACGCGAAACGAACGAAGAAGCGTGCGCAGCACCAAGTTGGCGCTCAAGGGCTCAAATTTGTGTTTCGTTTGTATAAAGAGCCTAGATTTAAGAGAGGGGACAACTGCTTGATTGAGGTCATGTGGTTCGTGGGTTGCGGTCGCAAAACGAGCCCGCAAGGAGTCAAAAGTGTTTTCCGTTTGCTAACGTGTCCGCACATTTAAAGGTACACAGCTCCTTTATATGTGCGCCTTAGATGATCCACGATTTTGAATATATTTGGTGCAGATAGTTTGAACGCCACATGACTGTGGAAAAAAGAGTGAGCGCTTCTGAAACTGGTCAATGCTCGACCGGCGGCGGTTTTCCGGTGGAAAGAAAATGGATTTCGAGCCACAAATTGTGTTCTGCATAGTTGGGCTCTTATAGGTCATGTTCAAACAAAAACATCGGCAAGCATAAGTACCCTGTCAACGTCCCTGTAGACATTTACTCTCAGTTCCACCTTCCTCCGCCATTTTTTATCCGCAACAATCCTAAAGAAAAGGCGAGACCGAGCCAGCCCCCACCTTGTCGTTGAGGTAGCAGGAGAGGGCGTGGAGAATCCGGACGAGAAAGGTGATCTCGTAGCTACGGATCGGCTGGGTGTCTGGGTTGCCCTGGTAGCCGACGTTGCAGGGCCTCTGTCTGGCCACCCTCTGCACGCTCCGTTGGAGGAAGCTCAGGTCTCGGGAGTCCGCCACGTCCCTCCCCGGCTCGGACCGTGTCAAGGGGGAGTCGAGCGTCGTTGATCCGAGGCTCGAGATGGACGGTAACTGGAGCTGGGGTGCAGTTTGTATTTGAGTGACGGCAAAATGCAAGCAAATTGCTGGGCAACTACATTAACCGTGAAACATGTGGTTTCAGTCCAATTCCTCCGGGATTGATGTCTATGCTCTTGGCACTCATCGTTGGTTTGTTTGGTGACTGGCGTGTTCACTCTATACCAATTCCTGTAATGGAGATACCGGCGTTGACCCGGGTTTTAAACCTCTGGCACTCTTCCAGAACCTGAACCAGCCAATCGGCCTGGAGCTAGGGGGTGTGACATCATCACACGGCTCGGCCAATCAGCATTGAGTTAATTGGCGGCTTCACTATTCAACTCCACAAATTTCTAGACCCACCCTGATGACAGAAAGCATGTTTTACGTGAAGAGTGTGTGCACACTAAAGGACGAAACATGCTTTCTGAAACAACAGCCGGAGAAGTTACTAATAGTTCAGTTCTGCTTTTTCTTCTCTCGGAAACAAGTCGTTGCTTGTTATGAATTTGTCATGTATGGGAACGGTGGTCCGGCAGCGGGCCTACAAATGCATTCTGAGAAGAGCTACGCATTCACAGGCAGCCATAACAAGAGGAACAAAGGACAGGTTGCAAGCTAGAAAAAAGCTAAAAAAGATCACTTTATGTACTGCACATCTTCCAGAATCATGATACGAGGGTTGTACAAAAGGTAACGCAAAAGTTTGCATTTTTTTTATAAACAAACATGGATAAGTAAAATGACACTTTCTTCAGGTAACTCTTCCTCTATACAAAGGCTTTACCCAGCACAGTCTCCATCACCAGCGATGTATCTGCACCATCGCTGAGCCCTATTTTAAAATTTTCTTCGAAAAAATACACAGAATGTATAGTTACAGTGGAATCTCGTTGATATGGTTCTGCATAATGCATTTTTCAGTATAATATACTTTTTTTTTTTATCCCTTCTAAACGTTTTATAGGAACAATGTATTCCGATACGGCTGCTACGGTCATATTTTCGCTTGGGATTTGATAATACGACTGCAGAAATGGGTTCTCACGAAAAAATATACCTGTATATTCCAGTTACTCTTGTCAGTGACAGGTTAAGTGTACTGTAGAGTGGAAGCTCCTCCCACCCCTTTCCACTTTAGCAGAGCTAACAACGCTGGGGAGGAGGTCCCCTCCTCTTCAGCATTCACTCTACCCAAGTAAAAAGGGGTGGAAGGAGCTTCCACTCTACTCTTAACCTGCAACCAACTATAGCTCAAATCAGATTCTAAAAAACAACAAACGAACTGTTGTACAGTCAGCGACAGCGCGGCTGCTACAGCCACAGCCAGCATGGCTAGAGAACCACAGTTAGGGCTAGGGTGTTCTATCATGGCCGCCAATGCATCCAGCCAGCCGGCGGAAAGTAGAGTAGGTTTTCAAGCATGTGACCACAAAGAATAGTTACGTGTGGTGCATCCAGTAGAGCTGGAGAGCACGCCTTTCTAGTGCAACTAGCTTCCCACACCTCCTCCATTGTTCTCTGGTTGGATTGTAGTCAAGCATGTTTTCTCCCGGTGCTCCCGTTTGTACACCACAATTGACGGCCCTCATGGTACAGTAACCACCGTGAAAATGTAAAACAAATGAAAACCGCTGACTTTGACAGAAAAACGAGACACATTTGCAAGGTCGAAGAAGACCCAACGAAGAAACAAGTAGGTCCGGCAAGCGAACTTGGTTTGCCGGTCCCAACACTCAACATTATCATAGGCAAGCGGGAAGAAACCCGCAAGAAGTTGCAAGTCTTCGAGACTAGCGTAAAGCAAACAAGAGGTGCGCAGCATGAACAGATGGAAGAAATCCTCCTGGCTTGGTTCAAAAAAGTATGAGTGGTGACGATGATGAAAACACCAAGGACTCGGAAACAACTGCAGTAATCGTCGTACAACAACTGCCAGCGACGCGTTCGAAGTGTTGGACACTCTTCGGACTTTCGTCGCAAATGCCGAGCTAAGCGACCAAACTGTGGCTCTTCTTTTTAACTTTTAAAAGCACCTGTTTATGGACACTGAAAAGAAAAAAAGTCCAGTGGAAGGTGACAAACTATTTAAAGGTCTCAGAATAAAAGCAAGTTTCTCAGCACGTATGCATTTTCATGGTTTTTAGGATACCGTTTGACTAATACAATTTTTGAGTAATATGTTTTTGTTTTCTTTTGGTTAACATGAAAATTGTATTAAGGAGATTCCACTGTATCTGCTTATCTTATGTAGCATAAATGAACTCTGCACAAATTTTGGCGCCTCGATTCTATGAACATCGTTGTGCATATTCCTGAAAGAAAACACTGCCAAAGCTAGCGCTCTAGCAAGAGTGGAATGCCGAGTCCTGCTAGGTCTACTGAAGACAGATGTCGAAAAAAAAAGAAGGCACATAATACAAAGCAAAATTATCTTTCAAAAATTGTCTTAACTACTATTTCAATGTTTTGACAAGATTGCCAGTGTTCTGGCAGCTTGACTAATAACTCTCCAAGAACTCTGGGTTTCTTTCCGCCGGCAGATGCCCCCTACCAACCTTGAAGAGGTGGCAGAGGTCATTGGTGGCCGACTGAAGGTAGGAGAGGGTGCGTCGCAGCTCCAGTGCCTCATCCTGGGGACCCCAGGCCCCCAGGAATGTCCCCAGACGGCCCCACCAGGAGACAGACTCCTGGGGCCCATGGACCTGGCGCTCTATGTCCAGTGCCTGCCAGGCCTGGGACAGCAACCGCACAAGTTGATTCACCTGGAGCAGACAGTGCACCGAAGTCAGTTTGCACGCAGAAGCCGGTCTGCCAATCAGGAGCACATTAGACCCTTTCGGAAATTCAGTGCCACCTGGTGGATCGCACGTCGGACTAAAGTTTTGAGCGCTAACGGCGGTAAAAACCTAGTATCTACCAGGGCACCGTCACTTTCGTACGTCACTGTTTGACAATTCACCATATTGTTGTTATGAGCTGTCTGGGATATGCAGAAAGTGAGCATTCCAAGGATTCCCATAGCCTCAAACATGTAGCGCACAGAAGCTTACAAGTTTCACCACGCTGATGTCGAACAATAAAACAGCTGATTAATGTTTCAAACGCCCAGGTTTGGCACCATTCCTATATCAACTCAGTTGTGGAACTTTCCATAGACGCCGTACATTGGAGGCAGTCCGAAATCGTGTCCGATTCTTTTGCGATGAGGTGGCACTGCCGGCGCATTAATCCGCACAATTTTGTCTGCTACGGCTCCGCGGCCACCAACCGCTGCAACTGTTTGCGAGTCCCAACCCGACTTCTCGGCGACCAGCATGGTTTACGGTTGGTTTTTTCCCTTTCGCCAGTAAAAATACAACTTGAGCATGATAAGCGGCAGAACCATGACGGCATATGCTTTGTATTATTTCAAAACGCCGCCGCATTAGCTGTGCTGACAGCACGAAGCGTTTCGAACAACCCAAATTCGTTGGCGCCACAATCCGGTGGCGTCGACACTCTGGTGCGCCAGCACGCCACCGGCATATTTCAATAAGGTTGTACACTCACGGATTGTCGCTTCATAAGTTTTGAGCAATGTGTGAACTCTGATGTCCTGGTATAAGCTTCTCTGCGTTGTTTTTCCAAGGCGTGAAATGTGCGGACGTTCCCGTCGCAGCAGTTGCAAACAACCGAAGGAACGTTCGCGCGCGCGCGAACATTATTTTGCGTTGACAGCAGACGACACTTGGAATGTGGTTCAGAGTCAACAGGAACACAGATTCAATTTTTATTGGTTAAAACAAGTATCGGAATTTCTCATATGTGACTACCAACTGCAGCAGAAACAATTCAAAAGTAGTCTGCTACTGTCAGAAAAAGCGCCACGAACATCCGTAAGCTCAGTAGGCCAGATGCAACGGCCACAAGCGCGCCGTCAATGATGATGATAGTGAGTATTAATGCGGAGCGCACGCCCTCTAACAGGCGCCACGCAAAGGGACCCCCCTCCGGAGCGGAGTTCCAGAACTGAGTTGGTTCTAATAACGTTGCAGGTTTAGCACAGATACCGGTCTTCAACTTCTTTCTTTATCAGTCACCATAAGGCCACCATTAGCAGGGACGACGACACTATATGCTCAGATGATGAATCATCAAAGTGGCCAGACTGAATGTTAGAAAGGGACCATTACTCAAATGTTTTCAAGCTCGCTCTTCAAACTTTGGAAAAAGCAAAATTTTGACACATAGCATTTATTATTAGTAGACCTTGATTTAATAGACCCACCTCACCAAGCATTCGGCGCATGCGTGACGCCGCCATAACTTTAGTTCGCAGGATACAGGCAGCAGTGCACAAGACGGCTTGTGCCGCATCATGCTCCACACGCACAGAGCTCCAGCGAGGTTGTCGCACGTGCAGGAAGACTAAAGCTCCCTCGATGCATTGTGGCCGCAGTGGCGTAGTCAAGCTAGCTGGTGAGATCTGTCTATTCATTTATTCAAAAAAAAAAGGCTATCCCTTTTTATGGCACAGACTTGAGGCAGCTACTTTCCTGCAGAGTCGCGGAGGCAAATCATTGGAACTAACAAAAGATGACCGCTGACTGCCGAGATGATTATGATGTATTTTGGGTTCAAACATTACTTTCATCTAGGATGACGAGCATGACATTCCCATACCAAAAATCTCAGAGCACATCTAATTTCCGAGCCCCAATAGTTATCGGATGGCGCCTCGTCCTTCACCGGGTAATGCGAGAAATGATAGGCTCCTTGTGGGCATTGTAGAAAAGCATGTGTGAAAACTTTCTGCATAAACATATTCACCTACAATTTTACAGTAAGTAGTCTAAGCTCATTACAACAGACCTGGTCACAACAAACATTTGGATATAACATAGTACTGATTTGTGATGTTCAGTTGTTTTTCCTGTATGTACCATTGACTAACTCCATATCTGCATAAAGCATACTCCTTTTACAACAGACCGAAATCTTTGTCAAAATCAGGGTCTGTTATAACGAGCTCAGACTGTACAATATTTGCAATACCTATGGCGATTCCAGAAGCAGGCTACGCAAAAAAAAGGGAAGTGATGGTAAGAGGCGCACACCTTGGAGCGGACGTCCTCGCCAAACATGGGCTGGTAGACGAAGCCGGGCTCTTCCAGGTCCCCCATCTGCTGACGCACCACGTTGGCAGTTGTGGCGCTCACAGCCCGCCGCAGCAGGGTGCTGGCCCCCAGCTGGGGCGAGCTGGGCACGCTGCTCCCGCCCATGCTGCCTTCCGCTGTGAACGAGAGACTGCAGTTCAGCCGAAGGCGACTAGCGCGACCTTAGTAGACAGTTGTGGAAAGAGTGTAAGCATGTCAGAGGCAGCAGTGTAAGGTTTTCACTAATGATGCGAGTCTCCAGCACTCCAATAAAGGTGCACAACTTCTCATGGTCAATAATCGATCACTCTCATCAGCCCGCTTGCAAACAAAGTCCTAATCCAAGGATATTCGCGCTTTAAGGCCTTTCTTAATCTGAGCCGTGACTAACATAACATATGGCTGCTTTTTGGTGATGCCCTAAAAAAGGTGAAATCCGGTAGGATTCTCTTTAATCGTAAGCCATAGGTGGGGCTCAGTGTTTTCGGACTTTATTTTTTGTCAAATTCGGAGGGTGTTTTTCGGAGTTTATTTTTTGCCGAAGATTCTGAGTTTATCGGAGTTTATATTTTTTTAATTCCCAATTCTCCGAAATTCGGAGTTTAATTTCGCTTTGTGTCCTTTTAAAAATAAATAAATAATTAATAACCGAATGTAAACGTATGCCAGATAAAAGTGGATAAAATCCACGACAAAAATCACACACAAGTGACGCTTCGATAAACGTCGATACCCTAAAATCAATGAACTCCCGGAGGTAGTCGCTAGGATACTTGTAGTCATCGCATCCTATTCCATCAAGCTAGCCCACGGCCGTACGAAGTGGAGTGGTTAAGGAGGTAATAGAGAGTTCGAACTGTCCCTCTTCCCAATTTTATACAATCCCTATGGTCCATAGCTTTCACTGTTACTAAAACATACCCTTTCCTTTCTCTAAATCACAAATCGCATAGCCCGAACTGGACACCAAAAAGAGTGGCTTTTGTCGTGACCCGAATGTACAACGAACGGCCTGTTCCCCTGAATCAACCTTGAAGAGACAAGCGGCAAGACCCCTTTTGACAACAGTCCGAGACTTGAAAGATAGTTATGGTGGAATTTTCCCAGGACCATTGGCTCTGTGCTGATCAAACTGTAAAAAAAAAAAAAATAATAAAGTCTTTTACACTTTTTTTTTTTTACCCGGCGGGGGGGGGGGGGGGGGGGGGGGGGGAAGGTGGGGGGGGGGGGGGGGAGTGTGGCATTGACACATAAATATTCAGTTTATCGGATAAATGCGAATTGACCAAAATTTTACCGACAGGTGTTTTTCGGAGTGTTTCGGATTTATCCGAAAACACGGAGCCCTAGCCATAAGGCAGCTTCTAAATCTAGGCTCTCGAAAAGGGAGACTACTTGGTTCAGTCATTTTTTGACAAAGTGTTTCTCTAGAAAAGTCTCCACAGACAGAACCTCCATAAGTACTAAACATCCCAAACTCACCTTCCATGATCATGGAAGCAAGGTTTTCCTGCGACAGGACCTGCGGCACACAACACGACGTTAGTCCAAAGGAAGAGTACTAACTAAGTGGAGTAGTTCGTGGACGACATGCTTCTGGACGGTACATATTAATCCAGCATTTTATGTTGCCAAAAGCTATCCAGTTTAAATGTTGTACAGCTAGTGCATTTGGCTCCCATTTAGGCCATTTGGAAATGCAGTCTTTCCAGTTGCTTAGCACAACGAAACAACCAGAACTGAAAAGAAATGAGTGAGACCATGGTATGCTCGCAATACAAACACCAAATTAATTAATGATTTCCCAGCACATGCACTGATGCAAAACAATGTTAACCTGGAAGAGATACGAGCACAAATGCCACTAGTGTCACCCCATGCTGGCAAGTCAAATGACCGGCAAGGACTTCCAGTCCTTTACGAAAATTACGAAAACAAACACCAAGGATCATAAAACATAAAAGAGCCTTTTAGGCAAGAAATCCAGACATTTGCAAATACGTACAGAACACAGCATTTGGTAAGAATTTTTTTCAATCTGTTGTTTGGTTATGGCCTCCCCCAAATGCTAAGCAATAGAAGGCACTTATACAGTAAAACTAGATCTAGCGAAGCTGAGGAATTGTGCGAATTATTCTGTTAAATCGAGAATTTCGTTAAATTGAAGATGTCGTTTTTCAGCCCTAAAACCTAGCTTTAACGTAATTGCATGTAAAGAGCTTATACCACGATACTGCAGACCTGAAGTGGTCATGTGCCGAAAATCTGATTTACACGTGAATGGATTTAGTGTGACGACGACCTGCACCACTAGTGCGTGGAGAAAACCATAACATTCTCGAGGAAACGAATTAAGGTTTCTTTCTCACGCCACAACCTGTGCCCCTTGATCCGCCAATTGTGAGAGCCAGCCAGGGCTCTCTTTGAAGACCACATACCCGTCAGAGACATGAAAAGGGTGTCCTTTTAAGTCCAAGCACGAATGATTTCGACAATAACGGGGGGAAGGGGGGGCGGGGGGGCACCACGTAACCGAACTGAAACTGAACGACGGCAAACTTCATTGGTGCCATCTGTCGCGTGCGACATTGATCTGGTTGTTGAAACATTCTACAGTCGCCGACCAATTTTTCAGACGCCGATAATTCAGACTTGTTTGATATTTCGGACCTAAAGGAGGAACCATGAGCTACCCGATAGAAATAGCGCAAATTCACGACCGATGTTTCGGACAACTTAAAATTTGAACATTCAATTTTTCGGACAAAATCGTCGTGAGTGATCAGCGGAAAACACCACCGCAAAACGGACGTTTTGAATTCTATGTTGGCTGCACATGGATTGGCTTGGCAGGCCTAATTGAGTACTGCTAAGTCCTACTGCTAGGTGATGATGTAAGTTGTTTTTTTTTTTTTTTTTTTTTTTCTAGCTGCGTATTATTATCATTATTTTTGTTGTTACCATTTTGCTTTGTTAATTCACCACTGCAGTCGTGAACTTGCACCTCATCTCGATCTCGTCTCGGTGAATCATGTTTTCGGACTATGCTGGCTTGGACGTCATTGCCCATCTGTTCTTCCGCCACCGCGATGTGTCACTAAGAAGCGCAGAAAGTATTTGACCATAACGCTAGGAAAGGAGGCGGCAGTTCTCAAGTTAATAGAAAGTTGCCAAACGCAAACGGAGGCATAACCTGAAGCAAGGCACTATTTATGGCTTTTTTAAGCCCGCTTAGACGTAATAAAGGCAGGTTTTTAATCTGTTAATTTTGCCGACTGCTCTGTTATTCGGATGCTTTTTTGGTCCCTGCAAAGTCCGAAAAATCAGTCGGTGACTGTATTTATATGAAAATTAAATAAGCACCCGTCTCCCTCGACTCTAGTCATTCGAGACGCTTGCGGCGGTAATGAAACCTTGTGAAACGGCTCTTTCCATCTGGTACATAACTGACTAGAAGCCCAAAGTGTAGAGTTTGTTTTTTCGTAAAAACGAAACTGGGTTCGCATGATCTTATTGCTGGCATGTGAGCAACAAACTTTGAGGCCTTCTAAACAAAATATTATTAAAATTACCCCTTTTTTTTTCACTTATGATTTTTTTCAGAAATTGGGTATGCAGCTAAATTTATTTTGTTATTTCTAGTTCATAAAAGCACTGAGCCTTATGGGAATCGGGGGAAATTAGAATTTGTTTGTTAAATTATGAAGTTCGTAATATCTGGTGTCGTAAATTCAACTTTCAACTGTAGTCATGTTAGTAATAGTCATTAGTTAAATTATAGCAACACTTTGCCCAGTTACTTATGTAGGGTTTACTGCTGAAAAAACCTGTGTATATAGTGACACTCCTGTTGCACAAGTCACAAACTGAAATATCCAAGAACAAGCATGGTGACTATAACTGGATTTCAAGTCAGTTGCAAGCTCTCGGATGATATGCATCGCTGCCTCGGGTCCAGCACCAGCATGTGGTGCGGAAAGGGATGCGGTGCAGCCCACCTTGGTAACCCTGTAGAGCATGAAGGAGTTGCGTCGGCTGGCCAGGTCCATGCGGAAGAAGCGCGGCAACAGAACACCAAACAGGGCAGTGTAGAACAGCAGGTTCTCCTGCACAAAGGGCTGCCTGCACACAGCCAGGGCACAAAGAGCAACAAAATGCCCGGGGTCAAAAGCAAGCAACCACGAAACAAGAACATGCCCATTCATCCAGAAACATGAAGAGTACAACAAAAGGAGCGCTCTATTTTACGCGTCTCGGTAACCACGACCAAACTTCTTCATCTACAGCATATCCCGAGAAAACATTTACAAGGTTTTTATCCACTACAAAAATAAACGACGCATCACCAAATGCCGAGTCTCTGCCCAAATGTGGCGCTGACAGTTTCAAAGTTTCAGAACTAACCGTTACCTCATTCAAAAGTTGGAAGAAATTTCCTGAAAATTCCAATGGGAAAATAAGACCCGGTCTTGGTAACTGGCACCATTCAAGTCACGTATTCGAGGGCTCCGTCAGCCAAATTTCAGAAATCACTTTAAACTTTTTATTAGGAGAATGGTTTATTTTGAAATTTTGGCATCTGGCTCAGGCTGCTAGTGCTATTCGCGACTCTAGCGAACCATAGGGGGCGCCACCCCCAAACAAACATGGCGGCAGAGTCCAGGTCGCGTCGGCTCGGCCGGGCCGCCTGAATGGGTGGCGCATTCAATTTAACAAATTTTCTTTTGTTGAATGCCCAATTTTATGGGTATTTGAACTGAGACGGTCAAGTGTAGCCGGTGCGCATAAAGTTGCCGAGCATAGCTTTGTTTTGCCGGTGTTTTTTTGTTTTTTTCATGTCAAACTTTCGTTTCGGAGACTTCGATCAAAACCGAAACTATGGGCTCCGGAGAAACGGTAATAGACTCCAATTAGTTTTGATCACCTAAAGAAAGCGGCGAGGGCTACAAGATTGTTCCACCGAGAGTAATTTTTAGCTAACTCGCATGCCTCGACCATGCGACATATATGTCCGCGATATTGAGTTTTTGTGCGTGTCCGCGTTTCAAGAAACAGCTCCAGTCGTGTGCTCGGTCAAGAACACAGGCTGCAGGAAAATTACAAAAATTAAGCAAGCGCTTCTTGAGCCAAGGAGCATGTCAACTCACGGGCGCTTCACTAAGCAGCTGATACTCGTATTTCAATTCAGGTTTTAGTAGCAATCGAGAAGTCATTTTAACGAATATGCGGATTATGTGTCATATTACGTACTATGGTCCCACTAAAGCGATATTAGTATATTCTTTGGGTTGAAATATGAACTTAGTTAACTAACTATTATGTGAACTGCTGAATAAAAGTATATTTAATAGACAGAGAGATACTACTTAAACTTAGCCAAATGGTTCTAGCCGGTAGAACGGAGACGAATGCGGACAAACTGAGGAGAGTCTTCATCGGAGATTCACTCAGGCCTCTCTGCACTGAACTTGACTTCGAATCCTGAACGGATAAAATGAGTATTTTTTGTGGCCGGTCAACCTAAGCAATGTAGACGTATATTGCTGCTGGCTTCGACAGGGGTTATAATATAAATATTGAAGGGCGCGATAGATCCTAATGACGTGACAGTTTCTAACTTTGCGAGACGCATCCCCCACCTTCTGAAAGCAGATAATTTCCCTCATTAATCATACGCAGCGAGCAGGTTTCCCGAATCAAGTAATTGCGAAATTAGCCAAACTCCTTCAATGTGGTCTTTTTCAGCTAAAAGCCGCCAAGATGAATAGCCAACGCACCGGCCGGCGTTAGTGGCTCAAATTAACTTGAAGCTAATCGGCTAATCGAGCACAACCAAACTCAAGGAAAGCAGCTATCGAACCTTCCCATTCACTTGACTGCAACATTAATGTTCCCTCCAGCGAAACACTTTGTCTGTCGACCTCAGTCCACTGTTCTAGATCCTTATAAAGAAACCACTTATCAGTTACCAAGCAGTCGTCCCTTTGAATGTGATTAGAGACAGACGAGAAATCAAAACGTTTTTCCGTGATTCCTCCTCATCCAAAAAATTGAAAGAATGCGACCGTGTGTTGTGGAGTAAACTGGCTTTCAAACACGTGATAGAAAGAAACAATCTATTGAGGCTTCACCACACTAATGAACACTCAGGCAAACTTAAGAAATTTTCGGACCTTCGTCAAATTACATTGCTCGCCCCCGCGCCAACAGCACGTGTCCGCGAAAGCCATCAGAGACGCGGCGGGGCGCGGAGTGACCCGGACCGACTGGTTCCCGGTTTTCCCGCTTGGCGGCGTCCGTTTTGCTGGAGTCGCGAATATTGTCGCACATGGCCTAACGGTTATCGTGCTTGCCTCCCACGCGAAGAGCCAGGGTTCGATTACTGGAAGTGACGAGTCCTTTGTTTAATCTTGCAATTTAGTGTTCTGGTAAATTCGAGAATCCTGTTGCTTGTTCGAAGTCCGAATTTTCTAAGCGCCAAACTTTCTACACTGATTGTTCCAGAAGCCCATGCGTGTACATGTGTGCCGAGCCGCAGTCAGTCTCGCCTCAGCGTTCAATCCTGCTGCTTCACCGACTATGACGCCCACGACGCTTTGTTGTTAGCTTCATCCTTTTTGTTTTGGGCACAAGTTCGCCCCATTAAATGTTTAGTTTCCTCAGTTATTCTTTGCTTCATTATCTCTTCATTGGTGACAATATTTAAGTGAAGAATAAGCATTCGGCAGCGCATGGCTCATTTAAGCAGTAAAAAAAATACTGTAAATTTTTTTTCTTGGGGGGGACACCCTGTACAGGCAGTTAACTCTTTGCAAACTCTGTCATAAAACACAAGCTATGAAGCTTCCCTCAACTAGACAGATGCCCCTGACCAAACCTGAAATGGCACTGCATTAAGGGGAGGCACTCCCTTGGAGGGTCTACTTTTTAAGTATTTGTGCCAGGTCAATGAAATTTTTAGGGTATGTTAGACGTCAAAACTTAGGAGGCTACACCAACTTTCAACCCAAAAGGTTTATTTTTTGACAAGTTACAGCCTTATTCGTTGAAAAAAATGTACATGTAGCAGTGCCAAAGGAAAAAAACTATTGTTTCAAAATATGAATAAAAAGGCACAATTTCTTTGTTGGGATATAACGCTGAATGACTAAACTAATCGGTAGTAGGCTTGAAATAATTTTTAAGGCCATATTTCACGTAAAAATTAACTTTCAATAATGGTATGAATTTTTAATTTTTTTCTTGTTTCACAAACGTCAACATTTTTGTGTGAAGAAATAACAATTTGCAAAAAGTAAGCGCATAGCCGAGTTCTCCAGTAAATTTCATGCCAAAAAAGCCATACATTAGACTTGGGGGCGCTTAACTCATCAAACGATAGTTTTAGAGCTGTGAAAAAATGGTGAAAACATGAAGCTGAGAAAAACGGGTTTGGAAGTTCGAACAGTGTTTTAGTTTAGATGGGGCTTGCCATTTCATCTAAAATGCTCCAGGGGCATATGTCACTCCTTCCTCTGCACAGTCCCTCTGTGCCTTGGCCACAGCTTCCATCTTCCTTTTTTTGTGGGACATCTTGGAGGACTCGAGCGCTTTCACTTGGGCCTTCGCAACCTTCATCTTGGTGGCCCTCTCCGTATGACGCTTGGTAGCTCCCTGGCTGTATGCCCATTTCCAACAGAGCTTCCTGATTCGCTAGGACGAGCAACGTGACGTGGCTCGTCCTAGCGAATTGGAGCTCTTGTTTCGCCAGCTTGACCAATAAGAGCGTGCACAGCTATGTTTTCTACGGGGTTTTACGGTCTGTGAGCACGATATTGCGAACAATGCTGCGAACAGAACGAAAGAGGGCGAGACGCTCATTCCAACGAGGGAGGCCTGTCCATGCTAGTCGTAAGAAACGCGGAGGGAGCGCGCTTTGAAAATGGCACATTTTCGTAATCGGTTGCGTCGTTGGCGCGCACGTGCGGCCACCAGCACTTCGAAAATAATTTATTTCGGAGTAAATACTTTACTTACAGGAATAAAATTTTTGGACAGCATTCTTTACGAGTTGTAAAAGCTGGTCAGCCTATTTTCTAAAAATGTGACTTTTTTTTAAAAAATCGCGATTCCTAGGCCGTGCCTCCCCTTAAGAGAGTTATGTTCTAAAACGCCTACGGCAGAACTCACCAGCGGCCCTCTACCAGTCGCTCCTCTTGCTCACAGTCCCTACTGTACACGGAGGCATACCTCCAGGGCTGCAGAAAACTCAGCCAGGTCTCCAGAGGCTGCAGTTAAGCATGGGACATACTTTCACACTGGCAGAATCTATCATGTTACATGCCACAAGCACGCTATCTAACCTCCCCACCAATAAGTGAAGAAAGCAAGTGACACTGAAAGTATCAAGTCTGAATTGTCCATTTCTGGTTTCTCACCTCTCACATGATCAAAGAGAAAATTATAAAAAAAACAATATGACAAGTGTTCAGTGGCGCCCCAAAGGGGGGGGCGGGGGGGGGGGGGGGGGGTGCGGATTGCCCCGGGTGCAGGGCTCAGGGGGGTGTCACAGCGGGCCACGCGAGAGCGGGGAAAGGGGGGGAGGGGTGTTGCGTCAGACTACCGCATCGGGTGTCGCTTACCCTTGTGACGCCACTGCAAGTGTTGTGGAAGGTGTATGCATCTGCGGCTCAGTGCTACGCGGTGCTGGAAGCGGTATTTGACCTTTTGTAGCAGGTTCTGTAGCAGGCCAAATACTGGTTTAGAGCAGCCACTGATGCTTTTGGAGCAGATGCTAATATCTGTTAGCACATCACTCGAAAATGTAAAAGTGCTAGATAAGTTAACCTTATGATAATGATTGTGGGTTTCTATTTGGTACGGGACCAGATTAATTATTAGCTTTTGTACTAAAAATAGGTAGGGTGCAAAAGAAGCAAAGAACCTTATTTTTAGAAATAAGGTTCTGGTCAGAGTAGGTTCCATTTACAATGGGTACTAAAAAAATGGTTGAAAAATGAATCATAGAACAACACTTCATTTGGGATAAAGCATCTCTCCCCTCCCCATTTTTACACCCGGTAATTTTTATTTAGCCTGTGAAGATATTTTTTTGTAAAATGACTGCAAAAACCATCTGCTAAGGTATGTCTATCAATAAAAATGCCACCACCACCCCCTCCTTTCAAGTTTTAAGAACCTACCTAACTCAAGACTCTAATATTAAAAACTGCAGAAACAACCACCAACAAATATTATGAAAACCTACAATTGTGCTTTTAGGGGCGACACTACCCAGAAAAGGAATTTCTGCAAAAAAAAGTTGATTATGAAAAATGCCATATTGACATCCATCAGCATCTAGAGAGTATTCCCAGAAAGTTTAATTTGTTTTCACTGCATAGTTATTTTTTTATAAATTATTTTTGGTTCACCGATGCTAAAGAAAAGGAAGAGGTTGGAGCACGTTGAACGCATTTTCTCCATTCCACTTTTCGGCATAAATTTCACTTTAGGAAAACTATTGTTTTCGTATGAAACTATCAAGATTAAAGGGACCATGAAATGACCTTTTTACTTTTTCCAGATAACTTTTATATTAAACTGTCAATGTTCACTGAATGCCGAACAGGCATCCGTTTTCGTCTCGGTTTATTAACTTTTACACAAAAAATTATTGAAATATTGACTTTTTCATTCTCTCCAACTGACCGCAAAAGAAGCCGTGACATAGGCCGTTTCCGGAACCGGAAGTTCTCTCGGCAGTAGGAGAATGGGAGTGTTAGCGGCAACGAGTTGGGGTGCGCCGGTAGGTTTTACTGCGCTGATGTCACCGACGTATTTCCTGAATCGGCACCTCTCATCGCCGCATCGCAGCTGAGCGAAATTCAATGAGATATGTTGCGCTACAGCGACAGCATGGGACTAGTCCCATACGCCGGTATGCCTGTTGGGAAGTGCAGCGAGTCTTCCGGTGAAGACTCCAGAAGTCAACCACCCCGTCATTGTTGGCAGAAGGGCCGGCCCGTGTCAGTCATTTGCAAAGCGACGTAGATGGCGTTTTTCGCGGCCTCGGAGATGCAGGAGCGAGCCGACGTTAAAAAAGATACGTTTGAACTAAGAGTGTCAGCAAGAGCCACGTAAATACCTGTTTACACTCGGAGCGGACGCGCGCGCTTGATGGAAGTCTTGTATTCGCGCTGTTTGTAAGCGCTTCGGGACCGTTCTTTTACGATTGCAACTCGATACTGACGCGACACTCGGCAAAGATAGGTTGGACCGGAGTTGTACGTATACCTCCCACGAACTGTTATAGCTCGACAGTGACGTGCAGTCTGTCAGAATAAAAATGGCATACCAATAACAAGGTGTACATACCGTGTTACGAAGGTAATCCATACGGCGTTTATTTCAGCTCTATATCACACAAAACAAGAAGATAGAATCGACGAGAGTCCCTTTTCGACGAGTGTTCGTCAACACTGCCTCGGAAAACAAGGGGAAGAGATTGACCTCACCTCTTAATCTAGAATTGAGGTCAGTGATCAAACTATAATACGGGAAGGGTCCACAAGGGTCGCGCGGGCATATTCCATTTAGCACGCCAGCCGATCGTAGGCAGACGGTCTTGCGACGAAGCAACGCAGCGCCGAGTCGGAATGCCTGCGAGGCCTATACGCTTCGTCGGAGTCGGTGGATCCAGGGGGGCTATGTTGCGCTTTTTGGACTCCCAGGAGACTTGGAAGAGGGAAGTGACGTCAACGACTAGAGCAAACGCAGATTGGATGTTGACAGAAGAAAACGAAATCAACACCCAATCTGCGTTTGCTGTGTCGTTGACGTCACTTCCCTCTCCCTAGTCTCCTGGGAGTCCAAAAAGCGCAACATAGCACCCCAGCGTTCTTGTTCGTCGTGGTCTGTTTTAAGTACTGTTTTCTTGCTGCTTGAAGTCGGCATGCGCGGGAAGAACACGTAGAAAAATAAACGTTCAGTCAGTCAGAGTTTTGAGAGGAAAGAAAACAAAGAAAATAAACGTTCGTCGCTGGCCGCCACCCAAGTAACTGTCGGCCCTGCCCTACTGCGCACGCGCAGTAGTTGCTTCGTTTACCAGACGATAGATGGCGCCTGGCTCTCAGCATTATCAAATTTGGCAATTTTCGCCACACATCTCTAATTATGCTACAAAATGTGCGTCTGAATATTATTTAACAAAACTTTTAGGAAACATTCGCCGGCTATTTATTGTTCACGATCGCGGTGCTGGTGAGGTAGGCTCTTACCCAATAGGCGACCTGGATTTGGCTGACGTGCTCCATTTCCACGGATGCATCGTAGTGAACAGGCGAAGGAAGGAAGGCGCAAAAGAGTCCAGTTTTTTTTTTAAAAGTTCTATAGCAAATAATTTTTTTTGGCTCCCTATTTTTGTGTTTTTGTGTTTCTTTTCACACCTTTTACGACGTGCGGTGGATAAAACTCGATTTTAAAATCATTTCATGGTCCCTTTAAAGGTGACAGTGAACTTTGGCGGCACTGGAACGAGAGTGAAGTTAAAGCTTGCTGCTCTTTCGATCGACAGCTGCATGGGAACTACCTTGACTACCGCATTTATTCAGATAGACCCACATTATTTTTTTTTCTGTTCTATTTATAAAATTAGAGATCAACCTAGAATCAAGACTGAACAAGGTAAACCTGGAAGAGTTCTCAGCATAATTTTTGAACCTATCACATTAACCAGACGCTCACCCATGTCAGCCGCTGCTCCTAACACTCGGGTGCAAAGTAGTAAAGCTCGATGCGTGCGCTGGTAAGAGGGCGGTGAAAGGCGGCACGGAGGAATGCGGCAGACATGATAATCAAGTAATCTCATCAGGAGCACAAGACCCTGGTTCTGTCTTATCAGAATAGCCACCATCCTACTCTTTCACTATGTGTTCTTGTGACTTTCAGCTCCTGACATCGCCGACACCATCTGCAAATTTTGACGATGTCGGCGATCAACCTGCCAACGCATCAACCCGCCAGCGCAGTTTATGAGCAATCTCTAAACCTCGTTTCACCTTAATTCAAAGCACAGCTGATGCTACGAGCCAATGGGACCAACCAAACAGCATCAAAGCACGAAATCAAGGCATTCGTCTGTCTTCCCGTGTGTGGTCTTTCATAGACTAAATCAATCAAGTACAGCGAATGCCGCATGACTTACACTTTAGTATGTGTGTTTGTTGTTGTATCTGGTAGAGCCTTCGATTATGCTTTGACCTAAGTAAAATGAAAAAGTGTAGGGCGAGTAGAGATGCTGTGAAATATATATTTGTACCATTTTTCTTTCCTCCTACTTCTCTCAATACTATTAGAGTTGATCAATAAGAAAATAATTTATTTTTTGCTTTGCTTTAAGGCAATCTAAAGAACTATTTTCCACAGGGTAGGAAAGTCCTCCTCGCCACCCTTCCCATTTCCTCCTCTCCTACTGGTATCTTGAGAGCAAAGGAGTGAGGAGGGGTGGGGGTGCAAATGGCACAGCGCTTTCATCACTGTGTGCATTTGCTGGCATGTAAGCAAAATGCTAGCAAACCCAAATCTCTTATTTGAACCGATTCCTTTGTATTGCCACTGGGTCTTCGATGAGTAGTATCAAGATGCTGAAAAAAGGTGAACCCAAAGGAAGCTGGAAATAAAGAATGAAATATTACCAATCGGAAAGATGCATCCAATGGCCAAGAGGTGAGAGCTTGCTTCAGGAAGATGTACAGCTTCTTTCTCAGCAGCTGTGGGATCAGTTTGCTAGAAGCAGAAAGAACATAAAGGCTGACATTCTTGCTCCACCTCAGTTAGTCAACAAAGATGTCAAGACAGAATCGTTTAATGTAAACTAAAAAATACACTAAACAAATTATTTTAAATACTGCAAAGTAGTATGTGCATTGTTGTTTACAAGGGCTACAGGCCTTTGCACTGCTTTATTGAGTTAATGCCAAGAATGGGATGGGACAACAGATCGAGAGAGAGAAGGAGAGGTGTTCCTCAAGATGGGGAAGTTTGAGAATCCCTGGAAAGAATCCCAGCTGTAAGAATGTCTACCGATTGTTTCTCCAGAAAATAAAAAAAAAAAATGTTTCTCTCTTTCTCTCTCTCTTTAGAAACATTAAAAAAGGCATACTGAGAAATATGAATACAGTGTAGACCGCATATAACGTATGTCTCGGGAGTCGCGAAAATCCGCACTATAAGCAGTACCGCGCTATAACCAAAACATCAATTTTTCAGGCCAAAATACATGTCATGAGACAACTTACCTTTGTAAAAGAATTTATTTTATGTTAGATGAAAAATAAAGCTTAGTTTGAGGTCAGTCTTTATTTCACCAGACTAGTACAGTTCTGTCTCAAGTGTGTCACACATTTTGAAAGAAATGAGCGGCTTTTGCCTGGCGCAGCCTTTTAACAGCGTCGCGGGTTGCGGACGGACGTTGCGAGCGTCCAGGATTGCTAACCCTAATCACTTTTCTCCGGAGATGAAAACGCGTGAAAATTCGCATCCTTCATACGGTACGCGCCAGTAGTACCTTGAACTTGAGCACATGCATGAAATGCGCCAAATAAGAAATCCGGGCGATGTTAGAGGACACAAATGCTTAGAAAGCACCACCGTAGTCGAAGTAAACAAACACGACGACACAGGCGTTTCTGCCGTCTTGAGAGCGCCGCCACGACATTGCCGCACGAGTAGGTGGACCTTCCCTTCTAGTACGTGCTGGGTTATCATAGCGACACACAACGAAAATTCACAGTCAAGGATAGCGCTTTTACGCAGAACGATGAGATCCTGAACGCCGTCTTAACGACGATCACAACCGACGCCATGTTTGCGGATAGAAGTAGCCGGCTCGCGACCGGAGGAGGAGAGAAGCGTTGTAATAGAGGTTGGGGGGGAAAGGAGAGAGCCAATCATGCAACGCGCGCGAACACTTCTCCTCGACCTGCGATTGGTCTGTCGTTGCGGTTTGTTTCTTTGTTTCCAACTCAGCGGAGGGACGCACGCACGTGAACGACACGTGCGTGCGTCCCTCCGTCGCTACGGCAACTGAAGCCTCTCTCACCGCTTCTCCCCGCGAGTGCCCCTTGCAGCTCGCGCCGTCAGCGCCGTTATCTACTGTCGCACAGGGAAGCGTGCTCGCTCGCTCGCTGCTCCGGTCGGCGGCGCGGTCGGCGGGCTGTGCCAAAAGCCGCACTATAACCGGTATTTCCCTTCGCGCGCCTGCATTTTAAGCGGTACATAATTACATGGAGTTCTATGGGAGGCGAACCGGTGGTTTAAAAAAAACCGCGTTATACCCGGTCCTGCACTATAAGCGGTTATGTTGTAAGTGGTCTATACTGTATTCCAACTGGTTATAAACAGATTCGCTCAGCTCCCTGACCTCAAAGCTATAAAAAATTGGCATTTGTTTAATAATAGACAGCAAAACAGGAAAAATACCAGCCAGATCCCCATGGTCGCCAACAGGTCCTCTCCCTTTCTTAACACTTTATACGATACCGAATTGGACTTGTGTGTGCGACCATCGTGCCCTTGTTTTCAAGACATCATTATTCGTTCCTACTGCTGTGGGCCTATGGGCCGAGAAATGGAGGGAGAGTTGGAGACGAGAGCGTGCGGGGCCGTCAGAACGCCGAGCTCTGGTGAGAATGATTAGTGGGTAGACCGAAAGCTAGCTGCATTTATTTCCACTGCACTCATTGGACGCGTTCGAATGCGAGAGCCAGACGTCAGACGACGGCGTTCCGTCTTCTAACGTGTTTGACGTGTGCAGCGGAGACAAAGGCAGGTAGCTTCCGGTCTAGCCACTGATCCAGGGGTTCTCGAATGGGGTTCTGCAGACCCTTTGGGGTCTCTAAAGGCCTTCTTAGGGTCCCCAAGGTCCTCAACTGAGCAATAAAATATGTTTTGTTTTTAAATCGATGCTGACGACCTTACATGTGCATTGAGTGAGTAGGGTCCACGTTTAAGAGCCTCAAGGCTGGCTTGCATGCACTTATGGCCAATTCGTCTGGGCCTGCACCGCTCCCGTCCAGTGCAGTATACTCTTTCCACTCTATACACGAAAGGCTGGCGGGGAGAGAAGGACGCTTCCCTCTCCCCTATAGCCTTCCGTGTACCACGAACTGCACTGCACCGGTGTGGTGCGAGCCCAGACGAATTGGCCATTAGTTTTTTTTTATTTACACTTCTGTCCTCGTAATTGTCTATTACTGCCCCTCCTCTCCAGTGGATGGGGTCCCCCAAAACATTAGCAGCTGAGAGCCACTGCACTATAGTCTGTTACAACTCAAGAAGGTGGAGCGAGGGTAAGACGAGCTGGGGAGGAGGAAGCAGACGGAACGCGAAGAAGAGAAGCAGGTTTCCCCCTCTCTTCTCCAGCCTTCCGTCTGCTTCCTCCTCCCCAGACCCATCTTACCCTCGTCCTACCTTCTTGAGTAACAACGGGCTATAGCAACGTACACCAGAGCTCGGCGTTTTGCCGTCCCTGCGCACTCTTGCCTCCACCTCTTTCTCGGTTTCTCGAAGCATAGAGCAGCCTTTGCACAAGCCAGAGGAGAGACTTCAAAGGCGTGCCCCCATGCCCACCTCCTGAGGTCGTCCAAAGGTCCGGGGATAGTGCACGGATAGATGGTGGCCGGCTGGGGAGGGTCACAGTTGGTGAAGAAGTGCAGGTACTTGACCAGGGACCGCACCATGCGCATCTGGTCCACGTTCGGCAGAAAGCTGTCCTGCAAGGAGCATGCATGATGTGCATCAAAGGTGCCACATTTGCGACACAAAAAAGAGCCGTTACGCAAGTTGAGACGAGATAGTCCCCCGAAACATGTCAGTAAAATTCGTAGAGCTTCCAAAACATTTCAGATAAAAACAATATACTTATTATCACAAAATTGTCAGTCCCTTAGCAAGTGAAAAGTTTTGCACTCATTCTCATCGCTCCAGAGTAACTTACATGTTTTTCATTTGTCTTATTTGGGCTTACTTTAGCACATACCGTATTTGCACGAATATAACGCGACCACGAATATAACGCCAGACCACTCTGGAGCAGACACTAAAAAATGTGCAGGCAGAAAAAATACTGTTGATCCCGGTACACGATCACACTTCTTATTCTGGTCCCTCCCCATAAACAAACACCTTGTGTTGCATGATTGCATAAACACGGTCGGTGGTCTTGGCTTGGTTTGCGATGACTTGACTTGGCCTGGCTTGGCTCGGCTCGAATGGGCCATGCTACACATTCCCGCATGGCATGCGCGCTGAGTTTCTGCGGCGTGCACGCATTGTACAAACACAAAAGCAATATCAATGCTTTTTTATGTTTTCTATTCGCCCCTTCACGTGGCCCAATAGCTAATAAATTCCCTTCCACATCCCAACTTCTTTTCCCACCGGATCTCCTGCATTGAGCCAGAGAAATGGCTTTCTCCTCTGGCTTTCTTCAAACTCACGCGCCTCGTGGCTAAACTCAATTCCGAATATAACACGAGGTACATTTTGGAGAACGTAATTCCGAAAAAAAACCTCTCGTTATATTCGTGCAAATATGGTACTATATGCCGTCCTATTTAATGCAACAAGATAGCCTATCCATTGTTCCGAACCAGCTTCTGATGCCCAAGCGAAGCAGCCGTCCTGCTCTCTTTTTGTTAGATAAATCGGATACAAACCACGGTCAGCAGATTATTAGTGTTAGGAATGTAGTTGGGTACACGAAAACCATTTCTGGCGGTGGGAAAACAAGTTGCATTTTTACCGAACAGTAACTATAAAAACAACATTCAAAGATCTCATTTTGTTGTTGTCTAGAGCAGTGGTTCTCAACCATCTATGTTTCGCGAACCCCTTGGGCATCGGCGGAGATGATGGAGGACCCCGTTCGTGGTGAGAGGAGAGGAAAGGTATAGGTTAGATATACTAATAATGACTTGATAAATGCACATAACTAAGGGCTAATGTGAACTAGACCTCTCCTATTGACATACACACGAGAAAACTCGCCCGAAAACAGAAACATTTCTTTTAGACCTGAAAAAAGAACTTTTAGGGTCTAGCCTTGTCCATCCGTACGGCGTCCGTGCTCACATCGACTGCACTGCCTCCAGGATCGGCCCACTTTGAAAAAAAAAACATACCTACGCCCACACGGGGGTTCGAGCTGAGGACCGCTTGCTTAAGAGGCAGACGTCTTAACCACTCCGCTACACTCCAATGTTGCATGTAGCCGCTCAACGTCTATACAGGAGAGGGCGCTGCGGTCAAATGCGTATATAATCGCGTTAACCCCTTAAGTGCCTTGAACAAGCTGAGCTCGTCGGCCACTTTCTGGCTAAAAATGCCGTGGACAAGCTCAGCTCGTCCAATGGTCTTTTCGGTTGCTCTGAATTCCACGGACGAGCTACGCTTGTCCGAGTAGTTTTGCGGCGCTGATCATAGATGGCAGCACTCGTATTAGTCGGCAAATATTTTGTTCGCCTCCGCTGATTTTTGCGTAATAAACTTTTCAAATTTTATGTGTAATACTAGAGGAGTAAAAATTCAAAATAAAAAAATCTGGCACTTTTAGGTTACTATTGGTAAAAAAAAATTTGGCACTTAAGGGGTTAAACTTTGCATGCATTGGCTCAATGTTTATAGACGAGAGGGCGCTGTGGTCAAATGCTCAACTGTGTATATAACCATGATCCATACCACAGATTCTCTTTCTGACATGGACCGTTGACTTAAGCTGTGGAGATGCATTCCCAAGGCTTCCAGTGGATCCAAGGTGATCCGCTAGAAGAACCACTGGCTCTGCATTTCACCGACCATAAAGCAGTAATAATGAAGTCGAAATGCAACCCGGAACTTAGCACTACCTATGAGCAATAAAAACAAAATCAGCATCATCAGCACTACCTATGAACAATAAAATCAGTATCATCAGCACCACCAGAGCTTCGCCCCAATCAACATCATTCACCACGTGGAGAGGCGGCCTCTTTTTTATTGCCGAGCTTGACTGATGAGGCAGGGCTTCGCAGACCCCTAGAATGCCTTCGCGGACCCCAAAGGGCCCCCGCGGACCCCTATTTCAGAACCACTCTACTCTTAGAGATAGTACCAAACATCTTAAAAAATAAAAAAAAAGTTTTTTGCGAGTTGCCATTGGGTTTAGCCCTTTTTCCTTTCTTTTTCATTTCATTGAGGGCCCTATCTTACCACTAATATTTTTATCTACAAGAACAAATCTGAAGTCATCCACCAACACGTCTGATCACAAATTTTCAGACTTTGATATGACGGCATAATCGCTAAAGCAAGAGCCACAGAAAATTAAGTTCAGCAAAGTTCCCCATGGACATCACACAAAATGGCATTGTAGCAATCAAAAGCAGTCTATGTACTAAAAAGTAAGCCATATCTAGAACTATCTTAAAGGTTCATGAGGTATGTATCTGCATCTGCAGATAATCTCAGAGTTGCAACAGTGAAATCAGGCAAAAATAGGGTTACCAACCGTCCCAGATTTTGCGGGACTGTCCCGACTTCTGATAAGCGTCCCGAATCCCGCATCGTCCCTATCGGCACAGCTATACCGGATTCGGCCCAGGCCATCCAGTTAGCAATTTTATTTGTGATCCCACGCATGGCCCAACAATGTGCGTCATGCTGCGCTATACGAAGTTGGCACGAATTGCACGAAACAATGCTATGGTGGCTAGCGTTACTGCGAGAGGTTTTAGCCCCTTTAGCATGCAAGCCATGGCAAGCTGGAAATCAGGGCTACACTGGAGCCGCTGGAGCCGTGGCGAACAGTGCCTGTTATCATTATCATTGTTCTTATATACCCCTTCGTGTTTTCCTTCTCCCTTGCGTTGCACTCCTCTCTCACAATGCATTCCCCCCCTTCCCCCTCCCCCACCTTGACTTGCTTCATTGAAGAGTTGGTAACCCTAGGTAAAACTTCCCAATCCGCTGCGGCTGCTTTGAGACCAAATATGTCGGGAACAAAATTAGTAAAGAAGATAAGGCTCACAACACTGTTCTAGCAAAAAAAAATTGCACCAAACAAATTTTTCTAGAAATCTTTTACATCTACAGCTTGTATAGGAACTTCTCAGTCTCATCTACAGTGGCAGTGTTGTGCCAGGCAGAAAACACCAAATCACGCACGCTCACACGTGCAGCACGCCCACTTGGCTCTTGCCAGGCAGCAGTGCCTTTTACAGTTGTCAGGAGCCACCACCACATTCCTCACTGTAGAACTCGGTTTGTGTGTGTATGCGACAACTTGCTTTGGTGGCGCCACCTGGCGGGCACCCTCCTGTGATGGAGCTGATGGGACGGGAACAGACAACGCGCCATGTCAAAGCACAAGGTGGCTATGTTAGTTTGCATATGTGGCGATTAAAAACGGTTTATTTATTAAAGAAATTGTACGACTTTTTTTGTGTAACAGCACATAACAGCACCTCAAAGTCACTATTTATAATAAAAAAAAAAGTTTAAAATGTACAAAAACAAGCCTGAAGCTTCACATTACAGTTTCCGCAGCATGCGTTAGACCTATTCAAAGCCTCTCTGATTCTTGTTCTTCTGGATCTGCAGAGGCTAGTGTAGAAAAAGATTTTGCATTCACCAGAGAAAATGATGTGCTGTCCTCTTAGCTGTGTACGTGCGCACAATTATGTTTATGTTGCAATGCGCTGCACACTTGTTTTAGCTAGATCGAGCTTGCCGATACTGGCACATCCCAGTAGGACTCAACAGTTGCTGACGAAGAAATGCTTGTCGGCAACTGCTCCTCCGTCGTTGAATATGTAGCATTTGTTATAAAGAGGTTCAACAGTACTCTAGTGACAAGGTTGTGTTATGTGCGATCGAGTGGATACGCATAAAAATGGGTGTTACTAACTGCAATAACACTTCTTCACACGCCGTGGTTAAAAGTTGAGGAGATTTCAAAGCTCCGATTGTTTGTCTCGCAGAACCTGGGATCGACTCGCCCGATTTCAGAGAGAGCTTCCGGAGGCACTCACCGCTGCCGGCGCAATGCTGTGGTGGAAGGACCCCACGGCGGTGACGGTCTGGGGTGCGGGCCTGGGGCTCTGCCTGCCCAGCCAGAACTCCACTAGGAGCACCAGGAAAGTCTCGGAGCACCAGGCCTCTCCCCCCGGTGACCCCGGTGCGCTCCCCAAAGGGCTCTGCCGAGCGGGGGAGACGGGGGACCCCTGGGGACCCCCCAGTCCCTGCTTGAGCAGGCTGCGGCGCTGGTACAGCTGCGGGGGCTGTTCCGGGGCAAAGGGGGTCGAGGTGCGCGGAGATCCAAAGGGGTCGGGTTCCGGGTACAGCGGACTGCGCAGAGGCAAATTTGGAGGGTTTAAGTGACAGACCAATTAAGCTGGTCTGTCGTAGAAGTGGAAGACAACGATTTAGAGTCAACTGGATACTGGCCATTCACCGCAGACATGAATGGCACAAGGCGAATGTGGGCTGCCTCGTTTATTTTTTTTTTATGTTGCTTGAAACGCATCTGTGGTGAGATCATGACATTTTCTGTTCATTTTCTCGTTTTCTGCCCAACGAAATTGTAATTGTACTTCGAATGAGACAGCTGTTTCCCTGGTGGTGGTTCTTGGAACCGCCAACACATTTGTGGAGTCGAAGCGTGGTGTATATGCTGCACCTTGTAAATCATCAAGAACAAAACGGGTCGAAGAAAAATATTGAGATTGGAAATGCAAATGGCAACGGGGCCCTATCACAAGGAAACCTCACTTCCAATAAGTAAAAGATGTACAAAAGTGTTCGAAGTCACTGATAAGGTTGTGAGACAGTAAGCATGAAAACGGGACAATCCACTCAAAAGGGGGCAAAATACCAGCCTCCCTATCCTTGCCTAGCGAACAATGTAAACTGAAAAACGTAAATTGGGAAAGTGAGCTCAGGCGAGACAACAGAAAAACGTGCAATAAAGTAAGTGCTAGTGGGGATACACCGGAGTTGCTAGCCACAATGAATTCCCTTCTGCAGCTCCTAGGGCTTTGTATTACCCAGTCTTGGGTAAGTTACTTTTAAAGAGTAATTCGTTACAGTTAGTTACTTTCAGGAAAAGAGTAGCGAAGTTACCGCTCCAGTTACCGCAACAAAAGAGTAACTCATTACAGTTACAGTTACTTTTAAAAAGTAATGACATTACTTTTCAGTTACTTCTCTATAACACAAAAAATTAGAAAAAACTAGAAAGTGCCCCTCACACCGTTTTATTGCATAAAATTAAGAAAGTATGCTTTTTACTTCATATTGTAACTTAGCAGCAGTTGCTTCTCGAAGTTAGTGTTTGAAAGTTTCCACGTCAGAGTAGTGGCGCTAATCAAAATACGAGACATGCACAGTGCCCTCCACGTGTATTGTTGTTTCACGGTTGGTTCACCCGATTAAAAAGCGTTCGCACAGTAAAAGAAAAACCACAACATAGATAGTGCTTCAAGACACTAAGATGTAAGTGTTCAGTCACAAAATACAAGCGCGTGCTTAAAGAAGACTAGACATTTTTTCATAAAATCTACACGTGGCTATATTTGGGTCGTGACTCGCGAGAAAGGACGTAGTCACAACTTTGTACAAGGCCAACTTGACACTCGAAATGTCGGAATAGACGATTTGGAAAGTGCAAGGCATAATGGCTAAATTGCACCTTGTTCAGTGATATATTATTCATAAAACACTGGAAAGTTATGACAAAAGCAACGTCGTTACTTTCATCGTTACCTCAGAAAAAAGTAATAGAACTACAGTTACAAGTTACATTTTTAAAAAGTAACTCATTACAGTTACAAGTTACCAAAAAAGTAAAAAAGTTACAGTAACGCGTTACTAGTAATGCATTACAACTCAAGACTGGGATTACCTTGGCTCCTCACATTTTTGGTGGTTGTGAGCCTAATGAACCTGCAAGAAGACCACCAAATGTTGTTTTTCTAATTTTTTTTTTTTTTTTTTTTTTTTGTACAAGAAGTTTGTGTTTGTGGCGACAGCTCACCTGACTCATCCCGATCTTTCTAAAAACAAGTTACATTATCCAGTGGGGCTGTCTACATTTATACCGCCTACGAAAGAATAAATAATGTTTTTCCGCTCTCTACCGCTATCGAAATTCGTGTGGGTCACTTTGACGGCTGCTCCTCAGCACGGCGCAAGTGGTAACGCGACAATGCCGGAAGAAATTGTTCAGTTAACATTTTGCGTCTCTATTTGTTTGTTTGTCTGGATATGAGTTCTCGAAATGGCCATCGTGATGTGACAAACTGCTTTTCTGCCAGTGGTCTGTAAAGAACGGCTTTTGGACGAAAGGGCTATTTTTACTTTAAGGATCGTGGGGTGTATGGCAAAGCTCGAGGACAGGCTCGTGCTCCTGCTAGGAAAACCCGTCGGGCCCGGGTGGGCCCCAGGCCATGTCTCTACCGAGCCGAATCTGATTGGGCTTGGAACCTCGCTTGTACAGTGCTCCGTGTTACGCAACCCACTTGCCTCAGCTGGGGCGTAAAGGACATGGGGAAGTAGCCAGGCAGGGCGGGGAAACTGCTGCGGTCGGTTGGCAGGTAGAACTGGAGGTAGGCCTCCAGCAGCGACAGGTACACGGCATCGGAACCACCTCCAATGTCGCCAGTGTTCCCCTGTGAGCAGACGCAGAGACCCCGCTCAATCAAAGGTAATTCCGTCGACGCACAAATCCCGACATCGAACGCAAGGCCGAGGCAAGACGAGAATTTTTGGAATGTCGCCTGCAGAGTCTGGGAAAAAGCCTAATTTAAAGAAGCCCTCCGGACACCTTTGGCCGCACCCTGACCCTTACCAAGCGACCGCCCCTTGCTGCATTGAACCTGTGGCGGACACTGGGTGCCATTTGAGAGTAGGCAATATGTCTTGTTGAACTGCGACGACTCACCTGATTGTGGTTTGGGTTGACGACATGGTACGCAAAATGAAACATGTAGAATTCAAATGCATCTGGATCACGAGTCAAAGGTACATCATGGTTCAGCGGAAACGAGTTGTGCAGGTTGTGCCGAAGAACCAGTCCTCAGTCGGCCCTTTCTAACCCTTGTGACGCTAAAGGAGGTAATAAAGGTATCGTACAGTTCAATCGGGAACTGTCAACTTCAATATCTAGATGACAGACGGTATGCTCCGTACCGTCATTCCTTTCTCAATTCGTTTCGGTTTCGACGGTGACAAAAGAAAACTGGTCTGAATAAAGCATGCTGACCCAACGTTTGCCAACAGAGTCACCCGACCCAAGACTGAGACGAACACTGATGCAATGCTTGTATCAAATTCGAGCGTCGCACAGCCCCGACATCTCAAATGGTCTGCTCAGGAATGGACATGCCTTTCCCTTTAGCTCGAACCAGAATTGCAAAAGACAGAATTCTTTTTGTCTGAATAGAACTCATCGAAATTAGAAGCTTTTGTAATTTTTCAAATAATGAAGCAATAAGCGTATAGACTCCCACTAGGAAGGATACTGAGCTGCAGTGATGACTGCAGGTTCCCGATGCCGGTGGAGTAGATCTTGGAAGCGTACAGTGGTGGAATTACACCCTCACTGAGGGCTTTCTGGGTGGCAGACTGGAAAGACAGGAGCAAAAAAATGTGTCCAAGAGTAAGTGCAGATCAGATTTCTCGCAAAAAAGGTTATTGTGAATTCCAGAACGAAGTTGAGAAACAAGGACAACACTGGGGGGAAAAAAATATAAACTTTTCTGGTCACTGCAACTTGCTTTAGTATTCGTAAAACCGAACAACAAGAGCATAATAAATGTGACATTATATCTAGAAGCGGTGAAACAAATATGTCTCACTGCTTTCATGTTTGACTGCAACAATCTAGTAAGACAAATGCAGAAAAAACCAAAAACAAAACCCAAAAAGTGCTTGACGAATCATGGCTATCTTTGCTTTACGTGTAAAATACCTGCAGACTATAAATACTTTAGAGACTGGCATCTGACAACTACCATCAGAGATAAAAAAAATTGTAGCAGCAGAACTTGATATACTCTAACAATACCCTGGCCAGACGGGTTCGACAGCCAAAAACAATTATTCTTCTTAAAAACCTTTACGAAGTGGAGTTCTACAAAGGCTCGGGCTAGCTTATGAGGATGTCCTCTAGACCTCTGGTCAAGGTCGGACCAATTTATGTAAATTACATCAGGTTTGGTTTGAGACACCGGGAGCCAATGGCTCAACCGGCCTGATCTTGCCAAACGTAAATATGTAATTCTGGGGACCTTGCCAATAACATCCCTGAACAAATAAAGTGTAGCAGAAAGTCTGTTTAAACTCTTTCATGGTCGGGTTGTTTTTTTTTTCTAAAAGGTATTTCACAGTGGTTGGGTTTTGTTTCTGAATGAATAGTAATGAATAGCACAGAAAAAATCCAATTCATTTCTTTTTCTTTTGCATTAACCAAACAATAGCACGTACAGTGCTTGTAAGCTGTTGAGGTTGGCAAATATTGAATGAAAATATTGAGGGCAAAATGTTGTCGCCTTTCTCTAACTCAGATTACTTCTGGGACATTCCGACACTCTCAGGTTCTGAACCGGTGGTACTTTACAGAGCTTCTCTACTGGCCAATGTGCTCACATCCTCCAAGTGAAATTCTGAAAAGCGTGAAAAGTATAAATCGGAAGAGCCGGCACATCGGTTGTCAGTAATGCCAGAAAAGTCCACACCAAAAACACGCAAAGCAACTCCCCCATGATATCACGTGTGCAAAGCCTCTAATTTTGAAACTATAAATAGGCCTAGCAAAGCTAGACACTGAGCGAATACAGTGTGTATAGTTTCCCAAAGAAATAACAACCAGCAGTGCTTCCCAGGGTGCGCGCAATTTAGTGTTTAGGCGAAACTTTAAAATGTGTAATTGTCGTAGTATGTGTACGACAAAAACCGTCAAAGGGTTAAAGGGGTATGAAAACAAAAATTGAAATATTCAAATTTCATTCGGAAATAAGTTAAGCATGCTGGATACTAACCGTGAAGGATAATCGCATGTTTGTATTTGGAACGACTGGCTATATTTTTCGTTCCAAACGGTGCACTTGACCAAGCGCTCAAAGAGAAGCGAACGGACAGTGCAATGCGTCATTGGATATCCAGCGCAAACAAAAACAGAAAGAAAAGATTCCCTGCATTCGTGACGTAGCAAGGGTGACATGGTTATGAGCTTTGCCCTTGGTGGCGTTGTCAGTGTTCTGGTGTCGGGGTTGTGGAGTGGTGGTGTCAATAGCGTCAGTGCGTTACAACCTATCCGTTCAAAGTACTCGTGGGGTGAAGAGCGTGTGGCTGGCCCAAGGAGCACGTAGCTTGCACAACACTGTCAGCTTAGGGCTGAACGGGGTGGGGAAAGCAACTTTTTGTCCGAGTTTTGAGCGACGAGCTAATCTTCTAGGGGGAGAATAGCCCTGTCCGGATGCACGAACGAGGGTCCGAGAAAGAGGGGAGTCCTTTCTTTCTGTCTTCTTGAACTGTCTGGTACAATGCGCGATTTGTGAAATGAGGAGGAAAGCTAAGAAGGAAAAAGTTGAAATTCCAAAGAGCGGCGCTGCTCCGTTGGAACTTGCTACGTCATGACTACGTAGCAAGTTCCCTAACATTGCTAGATTACCTCCTAAATAGGCTCCACATGCATCTAGCAGGTGCATATTGAAAGATTGTTTAAATATCCTTTTGCCTTTCAACGAAAGACTGGTATTTTTGAGGTTATGCTGCAACATGCAACACATTAAAGCTAAAAAATGAGCACTGGAATTTGGTTTCCGTACCCCTTTAAGAACTGTACAAGAGAATGTGGCGATGCTACTATTGTGCCGCAAGCACTAAAATTTATTTCAGAACCTGCACCCCTAAACAAGGTGTTTGTAATATGGCACGATGCATAATGCCTGTGAAGTTTCAGCTTGCCATAACAACCATTCATTAGAAAAATTTAGCTTCAAGTGTAATATGTTTTTTGTTACATAACTTTAAGTAAATATTTTACACTTTTCATGAAAAATGTGTTTTCTCGTGGCTTCGTGGTACCGCAACTGGTGGATCGATTGGCATTCAGTCTTTCGAAGGCAACTGGATACCACGAGCCAACTTTCACGAGCAGAGCAGGCTAAGTTGCATTCCAAATAATATTAATGAGGTTTCTATAATGGTCCCAACTAAGCATTCCTACACCTTTGTCATTTTAACAATTCATATACCCTTTCTATCACCTAAATTTCTTACAAAGCACAGAACGACACATCAAATGGCACGACGATGTCACAACGAAATGTCAATCGGGTCAGACACAGTTGGGCCAGCAATGCAGTGGAAATGCGGCGAGAGATTGCAGCAGGCGTGCAAGTGGCCGAGTGAACGAGGAAGCGGAAATGTCTCTCACGGGAAGGCAGCCCACGGGGAAGTCATACTTGAGGCTCCCGTCGGAGAGCAGCCGATACAGGACGCTGAGCAGGGGTCCCTGCGGCCCGAGGAAGAAGCGCACGGCCGAGAAGTCGTTTGGGTGGTCTCTATGCACCAAGGTCCTCAGGCCCCAGCCAAGCTGGGCCCCAAAGCCGAAGATGCTCTCCACCAGCATCGGCAGGTAGTGCTGCAATTCCTGCAAAGAGGGGGTGGATCAATTTGAGATGCCAGAATTTATAAAAAGAACTCCTGGCTCCTTGCAGTGTCCTGCAAATGAATTGCGCCAACAGCGGAGAGGCTGCCCGTGTTAGAATTTAGCGGACTTGAACCGCGCTAAACTTAGCGAAGGGTATTTGTCCAACACGGCGATATATTGTGACACTGTGAAGTCGGGTGGTCCCGTGATGTTATGCGACACTAAATTCTTGGTAAACTTGGCAGAAAAATTTTCCCACTAAACTTAGTGGAAAAAGCTTCTCGCTAAATTTAGCAAACAAATTTTGCCATTAAATTAAGCGGGAAAATTGTGACGTCACAATGTTGGCACTGTGATTCCCCGCTAAATTTAGAGGGCAATTGTCCCAATAGGCTTAACAGACCACCATGTGCAAACACGAAACACACGCGGGATCCGCTGGAAAACATTGTCTATAATGGCTAGCGCTGAAAAAATGAAATGCTAGAATATAATGACATCTATACAAAGTGCTTATACAGTGCAATCCACTTATAACAATACCGCATATAATGAAGTACCGCTTATAACAATCAGTTTTTAGAGTTCCTAGATGAGAAATTCTAAAAATATGTAATGTGAATTTTGAGTGCAAGTACAGTGGCTGAACCCCTCGCCTTCTAATAATGAGTGTCGCTCGTACCACTCCTTACGGACCATAAACCCCGACCGCAAGTATGACTCGCGTTTCGGTTTCGGCACTCATTTAGCACGCTCTCTGTCAGATGGCAAAAGCCACCCCTGTTGTTCCATTTACCTTGGGCAGTTTGCTCATTTGTTTTGCAGTTTGACAGCGAGAGAATGCTCCATTTAGCTGAGAAAGAAGAAAGCAGACGCTCGCGAGCGTTCACGCTCAAACAATATGGCTTTAACATGGAGGTCCACTTTAGCTGACAAAGAAATACAAAACCTTGTTTTTGAATGGGATTTAGGCTCGGGCATATGTGACGATTGATTATTAGGTGTTTAATGGCGCAAAAAGCAACATTGGCCATGCTGCGCCAAGATGTCATATGTGACGACCAAGCCTCCGGCCTTTCCGAATTTTAGATATCGGACAACGGTTTGATGAACAATGACAGGAGCGATGAAAACTTATGTGAATCCTGCTAACATTTCATCAACTTTGGCATCTGCACATCAGCGGGACTCGAACCAGAAATCCTGATTTAGAGCAACACATGATACCCAAAAGTCGAAGAAATATTTTTTTTATTTTAATGGAAGTTACTTGTTTAAAATAAAATTTATCTCGACGTTCCTTGAAGAAAGAAGTCAGTACAATTGAAACTGGAGGAGCAACCGTGCGCTGAAAGACGGCCGCGTGGGGGCGCTTGTGCACGCAGCACCGTGGTCACTGCAAGGGATACGCAGTGGCCGACGCTGTTGTGGGTGTCGTCGCTCTGTATACATGCTTTTCAACAGCTGACGATGGTGTTCTGTCGGTCGCCCGTGATCGTAAGTGGAAGCCATTATCATGAGCCTTACTCTGACACATGTTTCAATCGAATATTGGTGCTACCTAAGCACTTTAATGCACGCGGATGGTAGACCAAATGAGACGGCGGCTTAAGTCCCTTGTGGTCGTGACGGATTACAGGGCTTCCCATGATTATTCTTCGGGCGTGTCAACAGATGCTGGTTAGGTCTTCATTGCCAATTGGTACTTATAATAAATGCAGGTGTACCACTTTTATAATCTTGTTCTGTACCCATTACCTTCTCTGTGAAGTCTTTTTGGCGACCATATGTATGACAACTAATGCACCACCTGTTTTTTTTTCTTTCCTATGGCCTTGATATTACACCTTTGAACAGTAATTGCATAATTAGTTTGTCAACTGGCTCCGCACACAACCTCTGTTATCTCTTGCACCATACCACAAAAAAGAGTGACGAAGAAATTGTAAAATTTTAGAAAATGCACGTTATTACTTATTATGCGAATCATACTTATAAGATGATAGAATGTTAAAAATGTATGCATAATTGTTGCTAATTGCTTTGACAAATGATAAAACGAACGAAAGATATGCACAGACGCTTAACATTGCCAGATAAAATGAATGAAATAAGTAATAAAATTACAGTAATATTGTGGGGCATGTACGGAGGCTTAACTGCTAGCTTTAACCAAGATAAAATGAACAAAGCATTTAGGTAAAATAAAGCGGTACAATAAAGTAAGGGGTGCATGCTTGCTTGTTTTGAAAGATGAAAATACAACAAATAATCACGCAAGGAAATGAGAAATAAAGCCACGTACAGCTCGAGCGAAAACCGTTAAATAGCAAATTTTGTTTTGTAGCTGTAACCCGAACAAAACTTTTATTTTGATTTGCCGATAACCGAAACCCAAATAAAAATTGAAAACAATTACATGGTAGCCAATATATTATGGCGGTTCGACAATAACAACATTTTGGCAAATATTTTCTATAAGAAAACCCACAACATGGGTTTCTGCCATACTTTATTTATGTTGTTAAAATACATAACCTGTGGACGAACTACAGTTTGGGACTGCCGGCGTGACTTGTAGAAGTAAATTGAAATAGATAAAACAATCCCTTTTTGATTGACTGTTTGACGTCTATTTTTAGGTAATTTATTGTTGTATTAATGCTACTTTTCTTCTAGCAACCTGCTATCCGAGAGGCTCACGACAAACAAAATGAGATAATACGTCTGACCTTTCACTGATGGAGATGAAATCAGGGGACAGAAAGAACTCAAACAGTAGCTGTAAATAAAGTTATCCTTTTTGCATGAAAAGCCAACACTAGAAAATTGGAAAGGGACATTAATTTCCTTATCACATATTTAAAAATAGTCATCTACCGTTGCGCATGGAGTCAGTGAGAAACCTTCTGCATTTACATTTTTTTAAAAGCAACTTTTCTATGGGCCTCAAGGGCAATCAGGGTTGCTTTTGGCCTAATTTTTGCGTTTTACTTCTCGTCCAAATTAAACTCGAGCAGCGTGGCAACAGCGAGCGGTACCGCGGCATATGGAAGAGGTCTGGGCTGACTCAGCTTCTTGTTACCGTCCTGACCCCGACCAAGTTGGTGGTCATCGTGGCGTCGGAGGCTGGTCAAGTGACCAAACAGGTAGATTCTGAAACAATATGTTTCCCGAAGCGAGTTTCTTGTTTTTTTTTTAGCTATTTGGAAACAGACGGAGCAAACATTAACCAATTCTGAGGATGACTGAGCAGGCATCAAACTTGGCGTTCCAATTGCTGCGGTTTCTTTCGCAGTTTTGTTTGCGCGGTTTTAGAGACACGCAGAAAAAAATAAAGTGCGTGTGTACCACAAGATGCGAGGGTAATCCATACCTTGTTTATTTGAGCTCTGGTTTAAGAGAGCATCAAATTGAATCGATGAGTGTATCACTGCCACCATCGCGCAACACTTCGAAAGTGACGAGGGGATGACCAAGACTCGGCTTCTAACCGCAAGATCTAGGTCAAGGTTCAAGCTGTTCACACAGAAAGGGTGCACATACAAAAAAGGGTCACGCAAACATCTTTCGTTTAACGAGGCAGCCGATCTTAGGCTGAGAGTGACGAATGCCTCGCTAGGCCTTTACTGTCGATAAAGCTGCGGCTGCTCAAGTCGATGGGACGGTTGTCGCTGCTTCCACAATCCGTGGATCGAGCAGCCTTCACCACAAATTGTAGCTTCAAGTATTTTTCTTTTTCTTTTGCTGTTTGAATTTGGGAAGCACTCAAAGAGCACGTAGAAGTATTCTCGTTGGTCTCCACGGCAAAGTATCCAAGCAGTGCCCGCGGCGATGAAGCTACCGTAGAATTCCGTCGTAATATACACACAGAACTTCCGTTTCCCTTGGCATATTCGTATAAATCCTTAAATTTCGCGTCATGGCAAAAACAAAAAAAAATTTACGTTTAAAAATTTTTGTAATGCGAAATTAGAGCACAGCTCTTGAGGAGGAGGAGGGTAGGGAACCTATTCCCCTTCTCTCCCCTCCTAATCCTACGTACCCTACCCTCCCCTCCTCCTCCTCCCCCATATCCTCCCCTCCTCCCACAGTTTCCCCACTAAATTTAGCTGGAAAATGGATGCCACATGACCTCAACACCAATTAAGTTTCCCCGCTAAATTTAGCGGGGAAAATGACATCACACGACTTTCTGTCATTCTCATCCATGAACCAAATCCAGTTTCTCCGCTTTATTTAGCGGGGAAACTGATGTCACATGACCGCAACACCAATCCAATTTCGCGCTAAATTTAGCTGGGTGGCTATGCCGACGGAAACGGCGACAGCCACGCCGGTATACGCGGAAACGGGCACCTAAGAGCTGCAATCTAAAAAGATATACTTAGCAAAAAGATTCTGCAGCTACGCGTTAAATCCCAAAACCTAAGCAAGGCCAAACGGAGAAAATACCTGGCCCCGGCACGTGATGCTGGTCACTATGTCACTATTCCCTCCCCCCCCCCCCCCCACCTCCCCTTCTGCCCCAAGTCATGGACACCCCCAGCCACCACGCCACCCCAAACAAAATTTCTGGCTATGCCACTGGAAGTGTGGAATGATTCCGGATCATTCCTACTGCGAAGTGGCAACTTCGCAACACCGGAAAATGGGAAGGCGGTTCTCACCTTGAGAGAAAGTTCTTGGAAGAGGTGGACAAGCTCGGCACATCGCTTCTCAAGGGGAAACCTGTCCAGAGCAGCCACCACACGATCCTATGCAAGAAATAGAGACTTGAGTATAGACCAGTGTCCAAAATCCTAGCCCCCAGCGATAAAAATGGGGAACAATAATCTCAAACGCAGGCTCTTGTGGAAAGAGGGGCTGCACATAAAAGAAGACTTTCGCTTTTTACCGCACTCTTGGCATCGGTGTTGTTCTTAGAGTTTCGTGACCATAAATTTTACGGTTTCTGCAAAGGTTTCTAGAAACAATGGAGTCTTGCAAAAAGTGCAGCCCCCCTACTGTGTAATGGCATCAGCATAAACAACATGGTGGCACCCATGGAACAGAGCAGACACTGGTCAATATAACTTGGTCACTAAATAAAACAAAATTTAAATCAACCAATATTAGGCAACATTGTCTAAAGTGGCAAGCTTCAATGTAACTTAAGAAATACCGCCATGGCATAGTGCTGTCTGACAACAGTTCATCAATAAGTAATCTTGTAGCCACAGTTCAACCTCGATTTAATGAAGGCACCACGACCCTCTAATTATTAGTTAAATCGAGAACTTTGTAAAATCGAGAAAAACATTTTTCGGGCATAGGCTGCATGGGGAATCCGAATTTGTTCGTTATATCAGGAAATTCGTAAAATCAAGTTTTGTTAAATCGAGGTTCAACTGTACAAATCACTACGGGCCCGTTAAAGGGAAGCTACGGAGCTTCTTGAAAAAAATGAGTTAGAAGTGAGTTCTAGTGGATTTTTACCTTATGAACCCGAATACCCAAACCATTTGCTGCGCAAGAATTTGTTGAACGCGAGAAAACGCGAAATACAGTCACTGTCCGTGACGTCATCAACGGATCTTTAGGCTGCCCAAGACTAGGGAGGCGGGGCTTCAGCCCTATTTTGACATTGCTCTTATAGCTCTCCAGCACGTCGCATTAAAATATAATTGTGATATCTGTTATTCTAACGGCCAAATGAACACAATTAAAGTGTTTTTTCTCAAATGCAGAACCGCTCCATCTTCCCTTTAACAAAACAACATTTGGCTAGACCTTGTGGGAGCTTCGAGACATGACTGTTAGTTAGCAAGGCAACCAAGTGTCAGGTTGCTTGGTTCCCATGGTAACCTGTAGTCATATTATGACGTGGTCATACATAGGTAGTTGAATACTACTGCATTAATGTGCCTCTATACTTAATGGTTTCTTTGCAAGTTGGAAACAAAGACTATCTCGATGAGTGATCTACTGAATGAGATTTATGGGCCCTTACGGAAGACAATATATTCAATCGCCGTGCTCGAGTCTTGCCGACATCAAGAAGTGCTTTGCAAAACTCTCCAAAGGAATGATGTGACCATCCTAAGCACGATGAGCATCCAATCAGCCTATCCAAAAAGAAGCAAAGAAATGCAACAGGGGACAACTCATGCCCAAGAAAAGGGATCACTTCTCATGGGAGTACCAACCGGGAGGCAAGGGGTGTGCTTGCCCCTCATAGTTCTCGGAGTGCGGTGGGGGGTGGGGGGGGGCAAGACGTGTTTTGCTTGCCCTTCTTCCCCCACCTCCCTGAAGCAGCTGCCGCTGGGCAGGGTAAACACTGACCGGCGGCGCCCAAGGGATTTGGCTCAAAGGAATTCGGAATTTGCTCTGCCTCCTCGCGCCGCCTAAGCAAAGGATCCTTCCGGCTCCTTTGCTTAGGAGGCATGAGATCTCGGCTCGCGCTCGAGATCGGCTAAAAAACAATAAAGCAACCTAAGCCGCATGCAAGTGTTAATCTGATTATCAGTAGCATCAAGTTCTCTAGACCAATAAGCGCTAAAAATCCTAATTGCTGCTTCAAAAAAAAAAACTCAGTTTTTTTATTTTGGTGAAGAAGGAAGACCAGCGGAGCTGTACAATGGAAAGTAATGGCCGGCCGGTGGTCGACAAGCCAGAGTAGAAAGGCTGCCGCCATCTATGAGCGATGGCGGTAACCAGATACGTGGCTTGCCGCCGTCGCTCATACATGGCGGGAGGTGTCCAGAGTTCGTTGTCTTCATTTCTTTGCGGAGGAAACGACGCTGGGAAAACTAGCCATTAACAGCTTTGCTGTAAAACTCCGCAAAACTAAGATCCCTATTTAACTTTACATCATTGCTACTTGCAGTGTAAAAGTTTGTCTTCACTTTATAGAAACCAGGGGCACCGCCCCCTTGGCCCTTGGGGGGGGGGGGGGAGAATCTGGTTTCCCCCCCCCCCTTTCAAAAACAAGTTGGTACGCCAATGGGCACTCTCTTTTCTGCAATGTGACTTACAAGCACCCAACATACAATAAACTGACACTATGGCAAACACCAATGGTAAAACCCTTACATTTTGTCAAGGATTCTTCAGATGTCATTTCCATTGTAAACAGAAAACTGATACAATGAACAGATTCAGTTGGCTAAGAGGGGAACTAGATATGGTGGCATCTGACAACGATGATATCTGCTATTGTGAGCGGCCAATCATTATAATTTATAAAACATTGTTTTAGTAACGACAATATCAAAGCTTTTGTAAGCTTTAGCAAGCTTTCACAAAAAGGGGTGCAATGAAACGTCAATTAACAAAGCTCACCTTGGCAAATGGTCACGGCCATAACTCAGTAAAATATTTTTCCTAAGGTATTTACAAACTGGTGTGGACAAGTACTGCATGCTTTTAATCAGTGTGCTGATCCTTGAACAAAAACACCCTTATCCCAGATATGAGGTAATTTGTAGTACACTTTGAGTCAGTAACAAGTGTGTCCTTTATCCTTCTGTAGGCACTACTCTGGAATTCAGTACCAACGATCGTTGGGACTGAATACCATTTTGGCCAGGCCTAGAAAAAAAATGACTGCCTCAAAACACTAAGTGAATGTCACTCATGAAAAACATTAGACTAACAAAATGGAAAGGGTCTTTGACAAAGCATAACTGAGTGAAATAGTTACAACACTTCAATTCATGTTGGCATGCACAAACTACGAGGATTGGTCGCTCCACAGAAGGCAGAAAATATAAATCCTTTGTGCGTGCGTCCTCGGGTGTTTGTTTCCGCGACACAAAAAGCAAGGTTGTGACAACAACACCCGCTGTCAGAGAAAGTGACTTAATTAAGCGCCAGAAATGAGCACTAACATTGAAGTCGCGAAACTGTACAAAGATTTTCCATTGTCAAAATAAGTGCACGCGAAAACGTGAGCTGACGTACCCCAAAATCACAGCCCATTTGAGGTTTGAGTACAGTTCACGCCCAAAACGAAGTCAAGAACACGCGTTGTTTACGAAAATAATTTTACCGCCAGGAAACTGCACTAACGTAGTCGCAAAAGTATGTGAATATTATTCGAATATCAAGGAAAGTTGGAGTGAAGACGTGAGCTGCCGTACTCTTAAATTAGAGCCCGTTCGAGGCGCGAACACAGTTGACGCCAAGTTCGAAGGCAAAACAAACTCGAGTACAAGTTTTAAAGCAATCGCATTTGAAGGCCGGGTCGTGATACCTGACAAACGGGACCGGGCGGATCGGAGAAAAACAACCCTGAAGTCCAACTCCGCAGCATGACGCCTGCTTTCTTGCCGTCAGGATCTCAACAACCGAGCACATCGGCATAAACGCGGTAGAACTCCAAGGTGTGCGAGTGCGAGATTCTGCGGGGGAGCACCGGAAATTCGTCGGGTAGCGACGGCCAATGCAAAGCCGCTGTCAGCTGCACCGCGACGCGCATACCTTGTAGGGCACGAGCGGTAGATTTAAACCGGAAGCGAGTTCACTTTGCCGGTCAATCAAGGCCGAAACTTGAGCTAGTGTCTCCAGCTTCCTCAATAAGCACGCGCCGAAAGCCAACAGTCGAAGATATGTGCTAACTGGGAATGCACGCCGAAGCGGAGCAGACCAGAATTTCGAGCATGGAAACCAAACCAGAAAGTCCTCGCTGAAGTCGTTACTGTCGGCGTCCCATTTTCGATTAGCGAATCATAACGGGTACTTATCATGTTTTAGCGTTCTCCCATTGTTGTGTTGAAGCGGTGTGCAGTGGAATGTATAAAACTTACCGAATATTGAACGGTACCCCCAGCAGCCCGGCCCGTGGAGGCCGCCATGATGTCCGTATATGCACAGTGTTGTTAGTAATAATTTGCCCAGATCGGCGTGGCAATGTTGGCTACTTTTAGCGAAGGGAGTTCTACCCTAGTTCTACTGCACGTGACTCAAATTCAAAATTTGTCTTTTTAACTCCTTTCTTTAGATATGGCAAGCTTATAGAAATATATCATAAACAGGAAAAGAAAAATTTGGAATTGTATCAAATTCGCAAACAAACCTCATAGTCGGTAGCATTTTTTTTTTTTTACTAGACAGATTAGTCAGGAGCAGTGGTCAGGAGCTATGATAAATGTTATACCAATAAACTCCGACAAGTTAGCAAAAAATAACAATAACGGGCACATTAAGTGTACTGTAGTTCCTGTAATTTAATCGGCTTAGTTCCAGCCAACGTTACTAGAACCACTCAGTTAGGAAACTGCCATAGAGACTGCTCTGAAAAAGTGGCCCAATTTGTCCACCAGGGGCCTAGGCTGGACGGTTGGCGAAAACGACGGCGAGAAATCTGGCGGCCGCGATTGGCCAACGCCACACTTGACCTTGGCGCCGGCCAATCATAGCCGCCGAATTTCTCGCCGACTTTTCCGCCAAGTATCCAGATTAGTGCCCCAGAACCGAGCTAGTGACGAACACAACGCCGCCATTTCTCCCGCAGCGGCCACTCAAGGAACTGCACGTTACTTCTATTTTGGCTTTAATCGGCCATTTTGGCGCCGAACCAGATACAGCGGAAGAGAAGTTACAGGGGTGCCACCTCCTTCTCCCCAGCGGACGCGCCGCCAGTTTCTACACAAGTTAAAATGCACTTAGGTCGGGACACGCTACCTGAAAGGACCGCTGAGGCATGGTTGTATAAAAACAATATTAATTGTTCCGCAAAACCTTGCAAACTAACAGTTATAAAAACATCACGCGCCCGCCACTTGGTACTAAACTCCAATAAATTCCATACAAAAAGAGTCTTTTCCGTTTATTTTTAAGCAAAAACATGCTTTCTAAAAGCTCAAGGTGACCAGAGTACAGACAAATGATAAAGATCAACAAGGCGGTAAGTTGGGCTAGTTGGTTTAACATCGTCAAAGGTGAAAACAGCGCAAAAAATTGAACAAAGGACAAGTGAAAGGAGTGCACGGACAAAGCGCTGACTGTCAACTAAAGTTTAATTTTCAGGCGAACCAGAAAAATAAACACAGAGCATAGGAAAGAACCAATAAAGACACAAAAAATTTACAACCCAACCGACAAGATTTCTACCACGTCATCACCCTCACACATGCCTGCCATTCTCTCTGATAAAAAGGACCTCATCATCCCCCAATTGTACCGACGGTGCGCTCACACATTGCCCTTCCCCTTTAGATAAAATGAAAAATGCCTCGTCAATCTCCCTGGCGGTCTTACTTTTATTGCGCGCCAAGATCGTTGTCATGAAAAACAGGTACGCATGCCGCACCTACTGCAATGTACCGCTAAGTGGCCAGCGGGGGAGGAACAGAGAGAAAGGGAATGTTCCCTCGCCCTCTCGTTCACGCACCTCCCCGTTTGTCCAATGTACACCCTACCACATGTGAAGGGGATCTGATACACAACCCCCACTGCGCATGGTACAAAAGGAGTGCGGTGGTTTACATCACATTGCAAATCACTGTTCCTCCGTCGGTTGACAGCAGTGCACAGGCGTGACAGCTTCTGGGGTGCCGAAAACACCACTGGCACGTTAAACTTACGCGCCACTCGCTTGACCTGATGAGAGAGGGCGTGGAGATAAGGCACCACCACCGGTCTTGTTGTCGGTTTTTGTCTAATCTTAGGACTGGGTCGGCCCCTGAACACCTTTATGAGGGACTCAGCCACGCCCACAATCAACGTAAGAGGGTATCCCGCCGATCTCAGCCTAGATACCTGAAACAAAAGACTGTTCTCACACCTATGATGGCATGACTTCAGCAGAGAAGCGCCTTGTTGATCTTTATCATTTGTCTGTACTCTGGTCACCTTGAGCTTTTAGAAAGCATGTTTTTGCTTAAAAATAAACGGAAGAGGGCGGTTACTACGGGGTGTAGTAACCGCCCTCTTCACAAGCTTAGAGTGCGCTGAACCGAATGGAAGAACACCCTTCTTTGAACGTGGCTCATAGGACCAACATATATGCGACGGCTGCTTAGTTAGCCTCAGGTCCAAAAACTGTAGTGCTCCTGGTGATGGTGTCTCGAACTTAAAGGATAAACCGGGGGAGCACTTCGTAAAGCAGGCCAAGAAATCGAAACACGCGCCTTGAGGGCTCACGTGAAAGAGGGAGAGAAAGAGAGAGAGAGATACGGAGAGGGAGGTAGAGAACGAGATAGCGATATGAAAAAAAGACGAAGATGGAGAGAAGAAAGTCAACAATATCATCATGCAGTAACTCTGGGCTTGTTGACAGTAAAGTCACTCGATGTGGGAAAGTAGCGCCATTGCATTCCCACCTGCTGGCCGGACACAAACAAATACCAACATACAGACGACAAAACCACTGAAGGTAATTGGCTCATTGCTGTAGGTTACCATGGTGGTCGCCATTTTGGGCCCTTTCAAAGCTTCGAAGCTTCGAAAGGGTCGTTAAAACCAGTCCCACCAAGATCGCTATGAAGCATCATCGTACCGAAAGCGTTCCTCGGCCAATATGAGCGTCTTTGGCACTGTACATTCAATAAGCTTATCGTTCAAGCTTATTTCCCCAGATCTCTTACAATAATGTTGCTCTTCTTGCGTGTTTCACGACAATAAAATTATTTTTCAATTCCCCCAAGCACCGACGCCACGTGTGATACCGTACAACTTCGTACCGCCATCACACGCAACGTCAGTGCTTGGAGGCATTGAAAAATAATTTTACTGTCTTAAAACACGTAAGAAGAACAACATAAAATCTGGGAAAATAAGCATGATAAGGTTTTTGTATGCACAGTGCCAAATACGCTAATATCGGCCGAGGAACGGTTTCAGTACGATGATGCACTCTAAAAAAAATGGAGGAAAAAGTTAGCAACGCCACATTTTCTTCCCTTCTACTGACGCGCCCCCAAGCGGACACGAGAAAACGAGAGGAACGAGACGTTTTTCCGTTTTTCTCCTCCTCCAGGCAGACGCGAGAAAGCTTCCGCCTTCCCGACTCATCTCCATTCGGTTTTGTTTTTCGAGGACGTCGCGCACGTATGTTGTTGAGTTGATTCACCTTCAGCTGCAGCGAAGGCCGCCTGAAATTCCGTCTCCCAGTCCGAACGTGTAAAAGATTTCGGCTGCATTGACGTTTTTATCACTAATTTTAACAAACGAGCAAACGAAGCCGCTAGAAACAGCGAAGTTCCGGAGCAGTGCCAGCGGCGCTACGTACACTGTGCTAAGATGGCCACACTGATCTCAACAAGGAGGATAGAAGGGCGTCGATTCTTGGTCGGTATCCAAGCGCGCGAAGGCACTGAGACGCGGCACTTTGGCGTGCCAAGGAAGCTTTGAACACGCCGCCAGACCCTTGCTTTCGACGAGTGGTGCCTTTTTCCTGCGACACTGCGCTTTCGTAAAATTTTCCACGTGTTCACAACGGCAAGTCTCAACAATACACAGAGTCTCAAAAAACTTCTTCGGCGAATGACGACGATCGAGTAGAAAACGTGTCTACAGCACGCTGGAAAACCGCAGCAAAGGGCTAACTAAACCGGAAATCGTATCCCAGCGAGGTTGCGTCCGGTGGCTTCACTTGCGGAAGCGGGAAGCGCGATCCAGCAATTGTCATTGAGATCAGTGGATGGCTATCTCCAGATTGCGAAACCGACGCGAAACCATGCGGACCCTGCGGACCACGCGGAACGATATGTCCACATCGGATGTGTCGACGTTGACGACATTATGGAAATCGCGGAAACTGTGTCCAAGACAGGTAGGTTTTGCTGCCGGGTGCCTGGGTGCCTTCCGTGCTGAGTACGGTTCTGTTTTCCGATGCCCAGTGCCAACCGGCAGTCGGGAGGCACTCACTTGATCGAATGACGTTTTAGCGAACGCCCACGTGTCACCGAATGACACTTTAGCGAATAGTCGGACGCCGCGAAGCGGCGATCTCGGGTGGGTCAAATGGGTTCGCATTTTTGTAATGAGCCGCCGCAGACTGTCGCCGGCGAAGCGGCGTCAGCGCAGCGCGGCGGATGGGTTAACACGCGCCCCCGTTATTCGCTAAAACGTCATTCGCTCATGTGATATGGACCCGTAAACTGTCTGGCATTGATGCCGCTGGTCGGGCCGTAATCAAAGGGGGCGGGTGTTGGAGGTTGACACTCCGGTTTACATTACAGAGTTTAAGACCATTTGAGGGATAACCTGCAATCGATCGACGTGCGGATAGTCATGTTGGAACGCTGGTCTGAACCTTAGCTTCTATCGTACAGTGACCAATACTGTCGGTTGCCTCCTCTCAGTGTGCGATTGCGCTCTGGGGAAAGGACTGAACAGTATAAAAATATGACGGAAAGTACGTATATTTACAGTTTGGAATTTTAGAATTAAGGAAAGATGGTAGGTAAGATCGAGAAAAAAAAAAGGAAAAAGAAGAGAAGCTACCCTTTATTTTGTTGTTTAAATATACTAAGGTTCCTGGAGATACTGCCCCCCAAGTGGCGCGCTGGGATGAGAGCTAGAAGTTTACGAGCTCGCCACGGCGTAGCTCCGTACACTTAACACCTGCCGCAAGTCGCGGCTTTGACTGCATTCAAGTTGATCGAAAAGTGATTGCTCTGCGCGTGAAGCATCACTTTCAGCTGAGTGAATATTCGCTCTACAGAGATTCATTCAAGACGACAATTGCAGCCGTTCGTGAACAGCACAAATAGAAAAACAAACACTACAACAGAAATACTAGCTACGACGTGCCTTGCAGGGAAAGAAACACATGGCTTGGGACCGCATTGGAGCGGCTTGATTCATTGG